GGGGTGTGTGTGGTGTGTGGGTGGTGGGGGGGTCGGGGGGGGAGGGTGTGTGTGTGTGGAGGGGGTGTGGGGGTGTGTGGTGTAGGGTGTGGTGGGGTGTCTGTGTGGGGGTGTGTGTGGTGTGTGGGTGGTGTGGGGGGCCTGCAACATTCTGTGGGACAAAGTGGAGCATCTGCTTCTCTGGCCTGGCTCAGCACCTTCTAGATGCTTCTCTCACCTTGGTTTCCCCTTCTGTAAAGACACTAATTACCACCCCCTCACCCCTCATCCCCCCCACAGGTTGTTGTGGGAACTCCAGAAATAACCATTATAAAGGCTCAACATGGTACCAGACACAGGGTAGTACCCTCATCACAGGCTTACTTGTGGCCCAGGAAATGTCGCTCACATGCACAGCTAGCGCCTCCGGGCCTCTGCTCCTTGAACAACCCGCTGACCATTTGGCACTCACTGCCTGGTCGATCTCGTGGGAGGGGTCAGCCAGGCTTCTCGGGGTGCTGTCTGTCAGTGACCTGGGATTGTTTGGGGGCAGACAAGCATACACAAGGGGGGTTTGCCCAAAGGTTCTGGATAAATTGGCAGTTTGGAACTCAGAACACATTTCTTTTTCTTTTTTTTCCAACTTTATTGAAATTTAGAACACATTTCTAAGCAGTGCCTTACATAGCAGCAGCAGTTTATTTAATTCCTAATATAGCCTAGCTATAGCTGGGAAGGCCAGTGAAGAGCTGGGGTGGGCACTGCTTAACATTTCTTAAGCACCTACTGCGTGCCAAGCCCTTTATGTACGCTCTATCACTTCATTCACAGTCTGTTATTCAGAGGAGCCCTTCCTTGATGGAAGTCACATAACTGGCGGATGGCAGGGCTGGGAGCAGACTAAGCCTGTCTGACCTCACACCTGGGCTTCCCTCTGTCCCAGCATAGCACCAGCTGATCCCCACAGGAGTCGGCCACTGCATGGCACATACGCCGTGGGAACACATGTTCAAAGCCAGGCTCCCACCTGCTCCGCCGAGCTCTCCTGGGACCTGCCCTGGGTGAGGTGACCAGTGGGGGTGGGAGGCCAGGGGATTGCCGAGGGGCAGGAAACGATGGCGATTCTCCTCAGCCACATCTCTGTGTGATGTTTCTGCTTCTTGTATGTTGCTCTAAATCTCAGGGCAGAGGGACTCACAGTTACCTCAAAGACACACACCTGACTTCCCCTCGATTCCCCTCTGGGACGCATACCACGAGCTTATTCACCCCTCTGGTCCTCCCTGCACGCCCCCGCTGCTTGGGTGCCCCCTGGATCTAGCCCTGGTGCGCTTTCTTGTTTATTTGTTCATCACAGATTTGGTGGCACCCTTCCTGTGTTGGGCCAGGGCTGGATGCTGGGGAGGCACCTTGGGAAGGCTGGCCCAGGTCTTCCTGTCGCCCCAGTGATAGCATCAGCCCTGTCGGCTTTCCTCTCGCTTGTCTCCCAGCCATGGAGACCCGTCGCTTCCTGCCCGCCTTTGGTCTGCCCTCAGAGGCTCCAGCTCTCGCCTGTGAGGGCCTTCTTCTCCGCTGGGGGCCGGCTCTCTGCAGGCCGCTTCTCACATGCGACAGGACTCTGGTCCGGCCTTCCAGTGCACCAGTGCCAGGGTCACACTGTGCCTACCTCCTCAAGCAGGCATGGGTCCCCTGGTGGCATCCCAGCCTCTTTGAGGACCTGAATTCAAACAGTCCACTCAGGGGACATTCAATTTGCTGTTGTAAAAATGATTTTAAAGGTCACTCGAAAAAAATTAACAAAATGACAATATCTAGGGAGGTTTTTTTTTTTCAGGAAAAAGGAAAGGCCAAGAAGGAAATAGTAAACATTAAAACCCCATTGCTTTAACTGGAATTAAAATTTCAGTTACAAAGTTTAACTTGTACAGAAACAGGTAAAGCAGTTCAGTGAAATAGCTTACACCCCAGAGTATAGGTCCAAACATCTATGGAACTTAATGATGGTACAGGTAGTGTTTCTGTTTCTGGTTGAACAGTGGATTATTGAAGAAATTATACCGGGACACTTATTGTCTGCTATTCATTCAGGAAAAAGTCCAGATGGCTTAATGATGTAAATAGTAAGAAAATACTAAAAAAAAAAGAAGGGTGGTTTTAAAAAACCTTAGACTGGGGCATGCTTTCCAAGAAAGGCACAAAAACACAAAGTATAAAATAATGTCTGATCAATATGAATAAATTAAAAAATTAAAACTCTAGGAGAAAAAGTCAGCAATAACGCAAAAATTAAACTGTAATCAAAAAGGAAAAAAATAAGAGAACTGTTTTCACAGAAATGACGAAGGTTACTTTAATATATAAAGAATTCTGAAAAACAAACATAGTCATTAAACAAGAAAGATTCTCAAACTTACTTTTAATTGAAGAAACAAACAAGATTCCATTAAATTGTTTTTTAATGAGTAGACTTTATATTTTAGTGGAGTTTTAGGTTTACAGAAAAAAATGTGCCCACAGCGCAGAGTTCCCATATGCCTCTGCTTATTGCCTCAGGTAGGACCTCTGGTATGATGCTGAATAAGAGTGGTGAGGAAGGGCCAGCCCTGCCTTGCTCCTGATTTTAGGGTGAGCATCTAGTTTCTCCCTATTAATTATGATGTTTCTGCTGGGTCTGTTGTAGATGTTTTATCAAGTTGAAGAAATTACCCTTCATTCCTAGTTCGGTGAGAATTTTTATCATGAGTGGATGTTGGATTTTGCAAGTGTATTTTTGCATCTATTGATATGATCATATAATTTTTCTTCTTTAGCTTACTGATTGGGATGGATTACCTTAATTGATTTTCAAATGTTGAACCAGCCCTTCATACCTGGAATAAATCCCACTTAGTCATGGTACATAATTTTTTTTTTTATGTTGTTGAGTTCGATTTGCTAATATTTTGCGTATTTTTGCATCTGTATTCATGAATGATATTGGTGTGTAGTTTGTTTGTTTTTTTGCCTTGTAATATCTTTTGCTGGTTTTAGTAGTAAGGTAATGCTGACCTCATAGGATGAGTTTGGAAGTTCTATTTCCTGAGTAAGACTGTAGAGAATTGGTATTGTTTTGTCATTTAGTGTTTTGTGGAATTCATCAGTGAAACTATCTGTGCCTGGTGCTTTCTGTTTGGGAAGCTTATTACTAGTTACACGCCTATTCAGATTATTTATTTCTCCTTGTGTGAGTTTTGACATATTGTATCTTTCAAGAAATTGGTCTATTTCACCTAAGTTATCCAATTTGAGGCTTAGAATTGTTCATAACATTCCTTTCTTATCCTTTTAATGCCCCTGGGATCAGTAATGATGATCCCATTTCATTCCTGATACCAGCACACCGACTTGTGCCTTCTCTTTTCATGATCAGCCTGACTAATCAAGGTTATCACTTTACTCATCTTTTCAAAGAACAAACTTTTGATAGTCTTGATTTTCTCTACTAATTTTCTGTCTTCAATTTCGTTGATTTCTGTTTTAATTTTTATTATTTTCCTTCTCCTTATTTTGGATTTAATTTACTTGTTCTTTTTCTAGTTTTCTAAGGTAGAAGCTTAGATTACTACACTTAGATCTTTCTTTTCTGATGGATCCATTCAGTGTTATAAATGTTCCTCTGAGCATTTTTTTTCACTGCATCCCACAAATTTTGATAAGTTGTATTTTCCGTCACATTTAGTTCAAAATTAAACATGAGATGCCATTTCTCATCTAAGAAATTGGAAAAAATGTTGAAGTTTGACAATATTTAGTGTGAGTTAAAGTGTGAGGAAATAGGAACACCTATGCATTGTTATTGAAAGTATAGACTAGTTCAACCATGTTGGATGGCAATTTGTACATATCTATAAAAATTTCTAAGGTATATACCTTAAATTTAGTTTTAATTTAGTCATGTACAGATGTCTGTACTGGGATGGTCATGTACAAGTCCTCTAGGTTCACGGGAGGGGTTTCCCACAGCAAAAAACTGGAAACAATTTAAATGTCCATTAATAGAAGACTGCTTCAATGCGCTCTATCTATTCAATGAGATACTAGACAAAGAATGGAGTATATCTCTATATTGAAAGATGATCAAGGTATACTGTTGATGCAGGAAACAGGAAAGCACATTTAATGGGATGGCATTTGTGTTTTGTCTTTTAAAAAAGAAGAGTTTATTCTGTGTATAATAAGCTTGGAGTTGTTTGAACACATCTGGAGTCAGAACTTTGGTGACATCTGGGACAGAAGTGCCTGGAGACCAAGGAGGGGGAGGGCACCTTTGTTTTTCACTTTACACCTTCTTTACAGATTGATTTTTTTAGCCTTGAATAAATATTATATTTAATTTGAAAAATAGTTTTAATACCAAATTGTAGATTCACGCCCACAGGTAGCTCGAAGCACCCTCAACATTTCCTTTGCTCTCTCTTGCTTAGAAGAAAGTGTGAGAAAGCCTGCCCACCTCCGGTCTTTTCTCTCATTTTGCATCTAAGAGGATTTCAAGAAAAAAATGAAAGACCGTCCTGACCACTCTGTTGGACAGCACTGTTGATGACTGGTGGTTTCTAAAAGAAGAAAATAGACTGTTTTTGAGCATTACAGAAAAAAGGAAGATTTGTTTCTCAGAAGTGTTTTAATAGAAAGGTAATTTAAGTTCACCATTTTTAGAAAGTAGAGAAAATGAATCATCCATCGACTCTACTTACCAGTTTAGCATTTTTGGCGGTGTTTTCTTGAAGTGTTTTTGCAATGCACCTGTCATATTTTAAATGGCTGCAGTCCCAGGGAAAATACACTATTATGGTCATTTATGTCACAGCATATACAGTTTCAGTATTGCTGCGGGGCCAGGAAACATCCATTTGGAGGAATTATACCCCTGCTTCCTCAGAAAGAGCACACAGTCAGAACTGGAAGTTACCAAACTAAAGGACACGCTGCTGAAGGAGGGAGCTCCTCTCCCTCCTTCCCTCCAGGAAGAGAGCTTTGAGTGGGTCACGTGGGGCTAGGCTGCCTTGGCACCTCCGTGATCTGCGCAAGTTTGCAAATGAGAACCAAAGCTTCTGAGGCTGCAACCGAAACACCTTTTGCTAAAGCTGCTGGTGCCAAGTATAATCGGGGAATTATAGCTTTTACTGAATCAATGTCTACTTGTCAACACATGCCTGACATTGGGTTGAGAATAATTCAAACTCATCTTTTCATTCTGTCTACTTGCACTAGATATGGTTGTCATAAATATAACCTTTTTACAATGGATATTCTTGTAAATCAGATTGGCAGTTTTGCATAACTTAGATAAACAAAACTCCTGAGCTACCCAGCAAAGGGAGGCAGAGAACAGCCTCAGCTGTACCCAGCCAGCTGTGTTGACTTAGTGCAGCTGACCTGTGAGCCCAAACTTCCTCACCTGCAGACCAGAGACAACAGATGTGTCTGATTCGTAAGTTTGTTGTGAGGATTAGACAGGAAAACAAGCAAGGAAGGTGTTTGTAACAGAGATGGGCAAACAGAAGGCTCTTAATACATGATCGCTGGCTACCAAATTACACTTAGTGAAGGAAACTTAGATGATGTCATCCATATATTTTTTGAGTACCTACTATGGGCTAGGTGCTGTTCAGAGAGGTTAAATGCTGAATGAAGCTCTCCTGGCTGGTCCATCTGAGTCCAAAGCCTTTACCACTGCAGCCCTCCAAGCCACTCATTTTGTACTGTAGCTTTTGTGTAAACTTTTCCCTTTACTTCGTCTCCACCATGATGCTGCCTTTCTAGGTCCCCCATTAACAACAGGGCTGCACCTCTTGGGTGTATCTTTCATTGTCTTTCCTTTCATGGTGACCTCCTGCCCGGGCAGAAGAACTGCCCTGTTCCTCTCCAGTCTCTCTCCCATTTCTTCCTCTTCTTTGAGGAGCCAGGTCCCGGGGGAGATCTGGGAACCCGATGAATTGGTGCCCCTACCAGCACATGCCTTGTTGTCTATCTTCCTGTGCTTAGATGCTGGCTCCAGAGGGCCAGAACAAAGCTACACGGCTACTTCCTTCCCCGGAGACTGGGGCCAGAGGCGGGTAAGCAGGGAAAGGATAGAGGAAGGAATACACTAGGTCTTGTGTGAATCCAGAACATTCAGCTCGCCAGCAGGAGTCTGGATCCAGGGGCATCTGCCCTGAGCTATGGGTAGAGGAGACTTTGGGCAGAGGAGTTGGAATGTCTTAGAGCTCCAGGAAGGTGCCCTGCCAGCCCTCCAAACCTTTCTAATTTCCCCAAAGCCCCTGGAGAAATGTTCCCTGTGTATCTGAATACCTGCGGGCAGGCCCCCCTCAGTCCTTAGCTGACAATAGCGCCTGGGGCCCCAATCCCTCAGACAGATCTGGGGTCTTTCAGCCTTTGCTTTCACCTTTTCCAGGCCTATGTAAGTTCCCAGCAGAAGCCATTCTCTACCACCAACCTGGTCCTCACTCCCAACTAATAACACCACACAGACACCATAGAGTAGGGTTTGTACAGCAAGCTCCAAGCTCCCGATGGATGCTCTGAGGACTCCACCAGCCCCTAGAATTTGGCTGGGCCTCGGCACAAGTCAGGATTATGGTTACGGATGCCCTGGGGCCATGGGCAACCACTCTGTCCCCAGCCCCAAGCCCAGGGCTTTCACACAGGGCGTGCTCTGTAAACTTTGGCATAAATGTAGGGCCTAAGGGGGAAACCAATACACAAGCCCCTAGTTCATTACATGAGCACCTACTGTGTGACACACTGTACTGCGCTCTATGGGGAATGAGACACAGTATATGTGCTTTAGGAAGACAAATTCGTCGCCTTCTTCAGCGACCTTGTCTAATCCTCCCAAGTGAGCTGGTAACCCCTGACAGCCTTGACACAGAACACCACGCAAGAACCTTCGACCAGGCAGAGCACCTGCACAGAGGCGAGTCTCCGCCAGACTTCCCGGCCACACCCAACATGGCTGCCTGCACTGGCCCTTTACTGGGCTCTGCGCAGGCGCATTTCCACCTGCCACTCCCAATATGGCACAAGCAGCAGCCCCCGCGGCGGGGCCAGGAGCGGAAGTGGGTGTGACAGAGACGGGAGCCGAGAGGACTCGGTGAGGCCAGGTCCTGGGGACTGAGAGCCGAAGGGTGAGAGCGATGATACCCCCGCAGGAGGCGTCTGCCCGGCGGCGGGAGATCGAAGACAAGCTGAAGCAGGTGGGACTGGGGCTGGGCAGGCGGGAAGAAAAGTGAAGGAAAGGGCCGAGAACCGGGCTGGGGCTTCTACTCAGGGAGGAGGCAGGGATGGGAGAGGACACACCCTGCTAGGAGATGGGGTTGGGGTGAGGCCAGGGGGCTGGGACGCGGCGATCTCCTTTGGCCTCCCGCTTCTTGTGCTGCCCTCCTCTTCGCCACCCCCAGGAGGAGGAGACGCTGTCCTTCATCCGAGACAGCCTGGAGAAGAGCGACCAGCTCACCAAGAATATGGTGAGTAACCGCTCAGCTGGGAGAGGTGGCGGGCCTCCAGACCCTGGAGGAAGCCCTGTGACCTGGCGGCTCTGGTACCGAAGGCCCGGGGTTCTGGCCTCCCGTAGTGATGATGGTAATGTGAGGGTTTCTGTAGCAACAGTGTGGCCAGCTGCTCCCCTTGTCTGCCCCGTCGCTGAGGATGCCACAGCCCCTGCTGGCATGAACTTTCTGCTTTCTGCCCAAACTCTCCATTCTTTCTCCTCTCCTTCCACAAACATTCAGTCAGCCTATTGCCTTAGGTGGGCTGGGTATTTGTCAGGTGTTGTTCTCAATTCAGGTGGCAGGGTTAGCATTCCTGAGATTCCTGAGGGTCTAGAGAACACTCAGCTTCCACCCTAGAGGGCTCAAGGGGTAGAAAAAGCTCTGACCTCACAGATTTCGGATCTAGTCCTCGCCCCTCCACGTATTTGGGCCTCAGCTAACCAGTCTACTAAAACGGAGACAACTCCAGCCTCCCAGTGCGGCTGTGAAGGTCCTAAGAGCTAATGCATGAGAACACATCTTGACAGTACCTGGTGTATTCTGCTCAACAGGTGCTCAACAAATATGAGTTTCCTTCCTAATTTCTAGAGAAGACTGGAAAAGCATAAATTGAATAGCTGCAAACTTGGGTGTGTACTTAGTAACACAATCCTAAAGTCCCAGTCTTTACTTAATGAGATGCACCCTTAGAGAGAGAAGGTTTTGAAGGTACCAGCAATGCATTTGAGGATGCTCTGTATGAAACTACTTCCTGTCCAGTCTTGGAAAGCTTCAGAGAGAACAGAAATTGAGATTTGGCCTCAAAGGGTCAAAGGAAAGCCATCCTGGAGTGATTATCTGGGGAAGAATTAATTTGAGGGTTGGTTGCCTTCAAATCAAACTTCATCCAGTTTTTTGGACCACCTCCTATGTGCTGGGCACACAGTGATGAACATGCACACCGTGTCCCTTCCTTCATAGAGCTTATTGTCTAGAAAGTTGGAGAAAAGGCAGCAAATACCAAAGACCTGGTGGGTGGGTGGAAGCAGTCCTGGGACAACCCTGAGGCCTGAGAGCACCCGGCTTCCTCCTGCAGGTGTCTATCCTGTCATCCTTTGAGAGCCGCCTTATGAAGTTGGAGAACTCCATCATCCCGGTGCACAAGCAGACAGAGAACCTGCAGCGGCTGCAGGAGAATGTCGAGAAGACTCTATCCTGCCTGGACCATGTCATCAGCTACCACCATGTGGCCAGTGACACTGAGAAGACCATCAGGGAGGGGTGAGCTAGGGCCAGAGGGTCGTATCCCTAACGCTTCCTGGGCCAGCAGCCCGAGGCTGGAGGGGTACAACGAATTTGAGCCTGTTGTCCCTGTGTGGATTCTCTTCTTTTCCTTCCGGATACCACTCCCTTGGTCCTTCCTCTTCATCTGCCGTCCACCCAGACTGATGCAACGCTTTTCCTCCCCAGCCCCACAGGCAGGCTGGAAGAGTACCTGGGAAGCATGGCCAAGATTCAGAAGGCTGTGGAGTATTTCCAGGACAATAGCCCAGACAGCCCAGAGCTCAACAAAGTGGTAAGGGGACCACAGGGTAATGTGAGAGGTGTGGGGACGTCAGTCCCTGCCCTGGTGTCATGACCAACTGGAGCAGCTTAGAGAAGAATAGACTAGAACAAACAGAAGTATATACTACAATACACACAAACATTAAGACCTCTGCCTCAGGAATTACAAATACACATTTCTATTACATTACTGTATTTTTATAATTCACCTCCATTATAAATTACATGTAAAATGTTAATTTAACATTTGCGTTTTATAAGTGCATTTTTTTATTGTGGTCAGATGTGTATAATATAAAATTTACCATTTTAGCCATTTTGAGTGTGCCATTCAGTGACATTCATTACATTCACGCTGTTGTGTAACAGTAACCACCGTCCATCTCCTGAATATTTTCATCATCCCAAACTAAAACACCCATCAAACACTAACTCCTCGTTCTCCTCTCCTACCAGCCCTGCCGTGTCGTTCGCCTTTCTGTCTCTGTGACCCTGACTACTCCAGGAACCGCATTCCTGTTTTATGTTGAATTTTTTTGCCTCATATCTTTGTGTTTAAGTATTGGAGTCATTGAGTCACCAGAGCAAGATGGGGTCAGGCTTGGTGGGGGGTGAGGTTTACTCCCCGCATTGAGGAAAGGAGAGGATGCAGACAGAAGACATGGTGGGCACAGAGTCCCAGACCCCCAAGAGGGTGAGGAATATTAGGAGAAGGTACCGGGCACACCTTCCCGGGGGCCCCACAGTTCTGGCCCTCAGGCCTGTGTCTTGCCCAGAAGAGGGAGTAGGCTGAGATGGGGGGTTGTCCTTTGTCCCACGCCGAAAGCTTTTCCTTTCTCCACACTGGGGCAAACTGGTAACCAGCCAGTGGTCTCTGGCTGTGCAGGGCCCACCTGATGGCCTGGTGGGCCGACAGGATCAGTACCTTGTGCACCAGTGATCCAGCGGGGACACACCGGTATCCTCAGTACACTGCAGTCACGGGTGGGAACCTAGGCTTACACACGGGGGTGTCAGGGCTGGAGAACTCTGTTTGGAGGGCCACTCCCACTTCTGGATCCTTCCTTCCTTCCTCCTGCTGCCCCTGCAGAAGCTGCTGTTTGAGCGGGGGAAGGAGTCTCTGGAGGCCGAGTTCCGCGGCCTGATGACCTGGCACAGTAAGGTCGTCTCCCCTGTGCTCATCCTGGATCTGATCAGCGGTGAGGATGAGCTGGAGGCCCAGGAGGAGGTGCCCCTGGAGCACCTCCCCGAGGGGGTGCTCCAGGACGTGATCTGCATCTCCCGCTGGCTGGTGGAATACGGCCGCAACCAAGGTGAGCTGGCCCAGGTGGGGGCCCGTGTGCTGGGGCCAGAGTAGTGGGATTTTTTTTCCCCTTTATTTCTTTAATTCACCTGGATTTGTTTGAAATAAAAAGAAACATTAGGAAACAATATATAAGCAATAAATCTACAGTTTATGTATAAACTGCACAGTGACAGGTCTCAGGGCCACCATGTGTTGACCACATGAACACATCCATGGTGCACACGCTGTGCTGTGGGAAGCCTAGGGAGACTTTCGGGGTAAGAGGCCAGCCGGCGGGCAGCCTTCAGGCTCCTCAGCACCTCTCAGCCAGAGCCTATGTGCTTTGGTCTGTTTTTCACTTGGGGCAGTGCCAAAATGTACCCTGGTATCCATATCTTTTTCCCCCTTGTTTGCACTTTAGAATTTTCCTGTTTTCTAGTCTTGATAATTAGTGCTGTGGTGGGCATGCTTATTTGGCTTGCTTTCCTTATATAAGGAGGTCTTTGGGGTATATTCTCAAAGGTGTAGAAGCATCCAGACAAATGTGTAACTTTGCCAATCCGAATTCCTCTCTGGGCACATGGGGCTGGTCGGCAGACACACAGCAGTCTCATGGCTGTTTGTTCTTCATTCATTTCATTTATCTTAGCTACTTGATGGAGCTGGCACAGCCCTCTAATTTTTCGAATTTTCACTTTGTTAATGGCTAAAAACACGGGGTGTTTTCTCATTCACTGACACTTGTCTCTTTGCCTCCTCTAATTGCTCATGTATTTGACCCCTTACCAAATGAATGTGGATTCAACTTTATATTTTTATCTAAAAAAACCTTACTTTCAAAACTTGTAACTGGTCATTGGTTCCCCTGGGGGATGTTTTCCCTTTTAAGCATTTGCCTGATTTGGGACAAGGCCACGTAGGGGGCTGTGAGCCAGAGCAGACACTAGAAAGCGGTTAGCAAACAGAAATAGCAGGCTGCGCTGCTGCCCCGCAAGCTGCATTGAAGGGGAAAGCACTCCTGTGGCCGGGCAGGCCAGGGACCGTGGCTGCCACAACTCTGTTGCCCCACCTCTCCTCAGATTTCATGAACGTCTACTACCAGATTCGCTCCAGCCAGCTGGAACGCTCTGTCAAGGGCCTGAAGGAGCATTTCCGGAAGAGCAGTTCCTCCTCCGGGGTTCCCTACTCCCCTGCCATCCCCAACAAGAGGAAAGACACGCCCACCAAGAAGCCCATCAAGAGGCCAGGTGAGCCCCCGCCCAGGCCCATTAAGCACCAGCCAGAAGGCTTGCGTGGGACCTGGATTGCTTCGGCTGCCCTGGAGTCAGCCGCACAGGCCCCACCAGAGCTTGTCCTCACGGTGACCCTGACTGGAGGTCCACAGGACAGAAAGCAGGTGTCTACCCACCCAGCAAGGCCCCGTCCAGGGAAGCCCTTCTTTCTGCCCAACAGGGGCTAAGGAGCTGGGGGTCACAGACGTGGAGAGACAAGGTGACGGTACCAGGGCAGAGCCACGGGCTCGGCCTGCTTCCCCTCCCTCCCTTGCCCTGTCAGGAGGCCAGGCATGCTGCTGCAGCTGGGACGGTGGGCAGGCACGGCAGCCTTCACCTTCCAGAAAGTCAGGGGTGCTGGGAGTGGCACATAGCTGAGAAGTAGATGGGGAAGCTTACATATTCACAATTGATCCAGAAAGGAACAAAAATTCCAGACCATCTTCTCTGAAGAACTGGCTTTCAGGCTGTGCACAGTCAGGGCCTTGAGGTGGGAAAGCGGAGGGAGTGTTGAGGTGGGGGAGGCCTGGGCTGGGGAGTCGGTCCTGAGAGAGCAGCTCAGTGGACCCTTCTCCTGTCATCATGTCCCCGTAGTCTGTACTCCCAAGTAAACAGTGTCCCTGTGTGTCAGCCACAGCTTCGCAAGCCTGGCTGCCAAGGGACATGGCCCTCAGCTCAAGGAGAGGCCGGGATACTGCATGCTGAGGGGCTGCTGCGGGCAGCACCAGGGAGAGGAAGCCCCCAAAGCAGAGCGCTGCTCCCACCCTGCCAGGGCGTACCCCAGGGGGTGGCCTGTCGGTCCGACCCTCCCGATAGCAGGCTTTGTGTGGAGCTTACACCCTTTGTTTCTTCGTTTTCCCTACCTGCCTGTGCCCCTCACGGAGCAAGGAGTCTCTTCATACTCAGAGCCCTCGTCCCTCATTTGATCAGCAGAGGCTGTCTGCAGGGATGACGTGTGCGGAGCACGGGGTCGCTGAGCCTGGTGGCCTCAGCTGCAGAGGCACTGCCTTCTTCCCTCTGGTGTGGCTATCCTGGTGGTGCCCTAGAAAACGTGCTGCAGTGACTCTGCTAGGGCAGCCTGCTGGGCTTTAGCAGGCTGCATAGGGGCTGGTCCATCTTGCACCTTCGAGTGTTGGGCGCGGGATTGTCTCTGAGAGGCTATGAGACTGCCTGGGCCTCGGCCAGTCCCTGCTCTCTTCCCCTCTGTCTCTTTGAAGTGCCCACTGCTGGCCTCAGGACCCTATTTGCACCGCCCCAAGAGTGCTGGCTGGCCATGCAGGACGGGGCCTCCCACAGGAAGCAATCTGATCTCAGGGGCTCATGGTGGACCTAAGCTGCCCTCCGCTTCTAGGCCCAAGAGGACCTCTGGCTGTGAGGGACCCTGTGGTTTCTGTGGGCTTCCAAGAATTGTCAGGAGCTGGTGGGCTCAGGACTGATGTTGGAAATTAGGGAATCAGGCCCCTGGGACCTCACTTCCTGGCCCTGAGGAGAGGTGCAGGGAGGCCGCCTTAGGTCAGTAATGAGACATCAACCTCGGAGTCTCCGTGGTATTTGGGCGCCTGATGCTCTTGGCAGCTGCCTGATCCACATCCCCAATCCACCTCCATGCCAGCGACTGGCCAGGCTCCTGAAGGCCCAACTGCTCCAGGTCGGTTGTGGGGAGGAATTTGATTCACTCATTAAACAGGCCACTTGCAGAAGGGGGGACGCAGGGAGACAGATGCTGAGCCACCTGAATTTGGCCGTTAGTAGCTAACTGGGGGGTGGTGTAAACAGAAGGAAATGAGCCACTCCAGACCTGCCCCGTTCTCGCCCAGCTCTCTGGGGAGTTGCCTCACTGTGTTCTGGGTCACAGGGATTGGGGCGTGAGGGGCACAGTAGTCTCTAAAGAAGAGGGACCAGAGTCAGGCTCATGGGTGCTTCCCTCCCCCAGGCGTTTTATGAACAAGGCGGCTGTAGGAGTCTGTTTTAAATGCTGTTTTATTTCCTACATTTTCTGCCCTGAGGTGTGTCGTTCCCACAGAGGTGGCTGACCCCGAGGCTGTGGGCACTGGTTTGGTTTTCACTGTGATACTAACTGTCGTTTTTCTTCTCCTTGCCGAGAGCACGCCCCCTCTTCTCCTGCCCTCACTCTCTGTGTGGTGGTTCTGGTGGCCCTCTCTCAGCTTTGGAGTTTTTTCCAATTGCTTTGGTGATTTGGGCAAGTGGGGCAGGGCTAGGCTGCCCCTGGGTCCCCAAGCTTCCGTTCGGGTACTGCTCTCCCAGGAAGCCCAGTCCCGTCTCACTAGCTACCAGTTCTGCTTTCCGTTGACGACTGCTTGGCCACGTCCCAATACTGAGCATGCCCAGGGAGCTCTGCCTGGTGTTTGGGGCTGGGCCGTGGGCCTGCTGCCTCAAGGTGCCCCCAGGCTCTGCCAGCCCAGGTGTGAGAACTTGGCACTAGCTTCTCCAGCCCAAGTGCTAGTCTGATTTAAATACGGCTCAGTAGTATTTTTCTTTTTGGCCTCTCCCGCTGGGTCTTTGCCATCTTACCTCCTTCATCCTCGGCACTTCCCCAAAGTGAACTCAGGTCCAAACAATAAAGGATCAGTAGCAGAATCAGGAGCTTCATCTGGGGAACAAAATATGTCCATTCCTTCATCTCTGCCTGTAGGGTCTCCAGTGGGCTGGGGAAGGGCCTGCTGGGAGAGAGGGTATGTGGGCATGCTCACTCTTGGGGGGCCAGTGTGGGGCCTGGGGGGCAGGTGGAGGGCTGCTGCTGTTTTCTCTCACTCATTTCCTAGGTCTTCTTATCTCCTCTCTGTGTGGCTCTGGTGACAGGGACGATCCGGAAGGCTCAGAACCTTCTGAAACAGTATTCCCAGCATGGTCTAGATGGGAAAAAGGGGGGCTCTAACCTCATTCCTCTGGAAGGTAATCACCCTGTATTCCTCTCCAACCCTCCTCCTCCACTGTGTGTCCACTCACATGGCAGGGCAGAGCCTCCAACCACCTAGGGGGGCCTTGGGGGAAACCCCGGGAGGGAAGCCGGGTGGGGGAACTGCAGGTCCCTGGTGCCACGCACCCTGGCTGGCACAGGGACAGGTTTCATGGCCTCGGCCTAGTCCTGTCTTGCTGACGGCAGCTCTGCCCTCCCTGAGGTTCACCCCCCCACCCATCCCGTCTCTGTCCTTGTCTCCTGTTTGAACTCAGAGAAAGATCTTTGTCGTGGGCAGCCCTTTCACGCTCGGACCAGCAGTGGCAGGACCAAGCCGGCCTAGGCCTTGCGGCCACTGGCCTCCTACAACTTTAGGAAAGGGAGTGTTTGTCACAGAGAGATGGGCAGCCCATAGGCCGTGTACCTCCCTACATCCTGGCGGAGGAAGGATAGCCCTGCCCTGGCAGACCTAACGCTCCTTCAGAAGAATGGCTCTGCGGCACAAAAGAAGGCTATCCCATTCTCAGCAGTGACGTTTCTCTAACTGGGTCTCTCCCCAAATATGGTGAGGGGGATAAACCCCTGTGGCCCAGCACCGCACTGTCTGCAGCTGCCAGAAGCTCTGCAGAACCCTCCCTCGTCTTCCCACTGCTCTCCCTCGGCTTCCAGGCCTGGGGAAACCAGCTCCCAAGGATGGGCTGGGGCATCACAAGGCAGGGCACTGCAAGGCAGGCTTGAAACGGCTGTGCCCAAGTGGTCCGAGGCAGAGGAGGGGCTCAGAGCCCTCTCCAGCGCCACTTCCCCTACACCCCATCTCACGCCCCCCTCCTGGAGACTGAGGGCTTCTTGTCCATCCCTGGAGGGGCAGCCCACCTGGCCCCTGGATAAACGCTGCTTGTGTTTGTGCGGCCGACGTCTTGCTAGGTCACGAGCATGATTTCCGAGTTAAGCATCTGTCCGAGGCCCTGAACGACAAGCACGGGCCACTGGCTGGTGAGTACCGCAGCCCAGCCCAAGGGCAGCCACCGCCGCCCTGGCAGCAACCCGTGGAGGGCCTGCTCTGGCCTGGCCCAGCCGGGCCACTTGCTCTGAGGATGGGCCAGGCCTACTCACGTCTCTCCAGTCTCTCTCTCTTTTGGGCACTAGGTCTCCTTGCCTCTCTCCAGATGGGAGTGCACGCCTGGCTGTCAGGGCCTGGGCCAAGGGGAGAAGTTGCCGCCACTCAGAAGGCGGGCAGAGAGGGAAGGCTGCTCCCTGAAGGGCAGGGAGCTCCAGCACCGGCTCCAGCATCAGCTCCATAGCTGTCTCAGGGCCCATCCCTTTGCTCACAGGACCCGGCCCTCAGTAGTGGGGCCCGGTCTCTCCTGGGGCAGCTGACAGCCAAGGAACTCATATTGCCTCTTCTCAAAATCTGACCCCATGCTAGCTAGCCTTGTAGGCTGTAGTCCACCGCCTTACACATTTCAGAAGGCCTGGCTGTGCTGATAACTGCCTCTAGAGGCCCAGCATTTTCTCAGATGGATGACATGGTACCCGCCTTCTTGAGCTGGCGCTGCATCCTGCCCAACCCTTGCTGCCCAATTACTAGTATATTCAAAGAGCTCCATCCTGGGGTCAGACATACCTTACCCAGGAGGTGGCTTTAGGAATCTTTCCTCCCTTTATCATCTCCACTACCTACAGTACCTGATGCTCTGGGACGTAAACACTATGTGGCAGAGCTGAAAATGAGGCCAAGATGAGGCTGGATTCAGCCTGTTTTTCCCCCCGAACCCAGTCAGGCCTGCTGGAGTCCTCTCGGCTTTCTGCCAGAGCTGTCTTCCTCCTCCCCATCTGCTGCCAGCCTGGGCTACAGGCCAGGAGCTGAGGAGACCAACCCCCCCAAGCAGGGAGATGGCTCCCTCAGAGCAGCAGCTCAGGGCACTGTGTCCCCCAGGGAGAGATGACATGCTGGACGTGGAGACCGACGCCTACATTCACTGCATCAGCGCCTTCGTCAAGCTGGCCCAGAGCGAGTACCAGCTGCTGACGGATGTCATCCCTGAGCACCATCAGAAGAAGACCTTTGACTCCCTGATACAGGTCCTGCCCTGCCGTGCTCTGGGCCTGGGCGGGAGCTGTCCCTGCAGAAGCTTGCGTTTGTGCAGGCCTAAGGTCCCTAGCCCTCAACTGCAGCCGTCACTTCCACCTCAGGGTATCACCCATGCCCTCTCCCTGCCGCAGCATGCAGGCTTCCCTGGGGGCCTCCCTGGGGACTCGGGATGGGGTCCCTTCTGGGAACCAGCTCTCACCTCTCTGCCTCCTCCCTGAGCTGTGTCCTTGCCCATCTTAGGATGCCCTGGACGGGCTGATGCTCGAGGGGGAGAATATTGTGTCTGCTGCCCGGAAGGCCATCATTCGGCATGACTTCTCTGCCGTGCTCACCGTCTTCCCCATCCTGAGGCACCTCAAGCAGACCAAGCCTGAGTTTGACCAGGTCCTCCAGGTATGTGGGTGGGGAGGCCCTTGGGGACACAGGGAGGAGGAATCTTGTTACCTGGTGTTCCCTGCCCCACACACCTGCTCAGAGGGTGAGTGGGAATCAGCTGCCACAGGGCCCTGAGCACATGGAGACAGAATGATAGGAGAAGAAAGCCAGTGCCTGGAGTGAGGGGCTGGGAAGAAGCTGGGCTCCATGCACAGCCTGCAGCTGCGGGTTCTGGCTGGGGCTCGGGGCCACTGTGCAGGCATGTGCTTCCCCAGGGCACGGCCGCCAGCACCAAGAACAAGCTGCCCAGCCTCATCACCTCCATGGAGACCGTTGGAGCCAAAGCGCTGGAGGACTTCGCTGACAATATCAAGGTGCTCCCTCCCCCTCTGCTACCTGCAGCCGGTGAGGCCACGCCGTGGGCAGGACCACTGGTGACCTTCCTGGGGAACTCCTTTGGAGAGCAAGCCTCCAAGAGGGGTGGGTCTGCCCTGTAGGGAAGCCAGCTGGGCTGCTAGTCTCCTCTCAGCACCCACTTACCTCGCTTTTTTTCTCAGGGGATCCCAAGCTCCTCCCCGCAGTCACCACCCCAAGAGTGAAGCCCCACCCCACTTTACCTGTCTGGTCTTTCTCACCTTTGTGTCTGAGGGGCATCCTAACACCTGTCTGCCACAAGGTGGCGCCATGAGCAGGCTGGCTGGGACACTGGGCCAGGGGCCTGCGGCCTCAGGAGCTGTTTCAGTGAGTGGATCATTTTTCCCACAGAATGACCCGGATAAAGAATACAACATGCCCAAGGATGGCACCGTGCATGAGCTCACAAGCAATGTAGGTGCTGCCCGAGGGGTCCTGGGGAGGGGAGGGGACCCAACCTGGCCCAGAGCCACCTGCACTTCATGACCAGGGTGCTGAAGGCAAGATGGATAAAGTGCTTAGTGACTCCAGGAGACAGGCCCTTTCCAGGCAGACCAGACCCATAGGGTGAAAGATGAAATTTGCAGCCCCTCTTTTCACTGGGCGGACCCCTGGCCCTGCACTCATCCTGGACTGCACAGAAGGGAGGTGTGGGAAGTAGTCTGACCCTTGACCTCCTTCCTGGACCTTTTTCTCCTGATGCAGGCCATCCTCTTCCTGCAGCAGCTCCTGGACTTCCAGGAGACGGCAGGCGCCATGCTAGCCTCCCAAGGTACTTGGCACCTCCCAGCAGGGACCCTGCCCTGTGCCCCAGCCCTCCTTCTTGCCTGGAGACACACCGTTAGGCCCCCAGAGGCCCTGGTCCCCTCTGGACGAGGCAATTCCTTCCAGCCCTGTGGAGAGGGCTGTGACTCTGCATTTCACAGTCTGACCTCCCCTTCCTCTTAGCCCCCTCCCCTGTCCTCGCTGTGGAAAGTGGCTCTCACTCTTCTGAAGGTGCCCTTCCCACCCCTCCTTCCGCGTGCCTCTGCCTCCTCCTGGCCTCATCTGTCCTAATTACTCTCAGCTGACCCTTTCAGTGGGCTGGTCTCTAGGGCCAGCCTGGTGGTGACCAGCTGATCGCTGCCCTGGGACTGCAGCGCAGGAGGTTGGCATGTAAGGAGGGGCGCGTGTGTGAGCACAGAGACTCAGCCCAGCTGGTTGGGGCCCACGGGCCCTCCCTTCTGCCACACACTGTGGGTAAGGAGCCAAGGGGTAGCCTTTGGCCCAGGGTTTCCAGCTCGGCTCGCTCCTGCGTACTCCCTGGTCTTCAGGGGATCTGGGCTGGGGGTGCCCTCCTGTCTGTGTTCTGACTGTTACAGGAGTGGTCTGCTTGCCTCGGGTTCACACGCCATTTCTAACCTGTTTTGCACTTTGCGTCTTTCTCCCTTCTTTGTCTCTCCCTCCTTCCCCTCTGAGTGCACTGCCTTTCACTCCGTAGTTCTTGGGGACACATACAATATTCCTTTAGACCCCCGAGGTAAGCAGCAGAGCTCTGTCGCCCCATCCTTCCCCTCTGAAGGCCCATGAGGTCCCCTGGGGACAGAGGCACGTGGGCAGATTCAGGACCTACTGGGAAGCGGGGATCAGAGGGACATGAGTTACTTCAGGGTGCTCCCCACTTTCAGCTCCCTGCACGGCCCCTCTCCATCCCTATGCTTATCCAGGCGGCACCCTGTTATGTCCAGCACCCTGAGAACACCCTCTAGGCTAGCGGCACCTGCTGGCCCCATTGCCCCTCCTGTCCCCGCCCACCTTGGTCTTCTGTGCTGCTTAGACAGCCAGTCCCCTCGGTTCAGAAGAGCCTGAGAGGCGGCTTTGGGATATGGAGGAGGAGGTGGAAGGGCAATGCAGCGCCCATTCTAAGACTCTGCTCCTGACCAGCAGGATAGTGGGCCTTGTAGGTACCACACAGCATGTGCCAGGCCTGGGGGGTGAGCGGCTGCCAGCCTTCCTGCTGCCCATGGGCCAACGCATTAACCATGACACCCCATCACCATAGAGGGGCTTGCCCTGGGTTCCAGAAAAGGTCCAAGGGTTGCTCCCTGGGGTGAGCAGGAAACCTGGTAGCTCAGCGGGTGCCCAGCTCTGCCCTGAGTGCCTCTGTGTCCTGTCTGCCTGAGGAAGGCTCACGGGCCCCTCCCAGGGTTTCCTCAGTTGTTCCTTGGGCTGAGGGAAGGCGGGAGAGGGTCTTGGCTGCTGCCTCCGATGCAGTAACAGGACTTCTGCTCCCGCAGAGACCAGTTCTTCCGCCACCAGCTACAGCTCCGAGTTCAGCAAGCGCCTTCTAAGCACCTACATCTGTGAGTCCTCCCCAGCTGCCAGCAGCCACTGTGTGCAGACTCCCTGCCTTTTCCCCCCTTCTCCTCTCCGTGCTCTTCTGCTATGTGCTGTCCGCTCCTGAGCCCTCTGATCTCTGGAATCGCGACCTAGCCTTGGATTCAGAGGCCGAGGGGGACTGAGCAAGGGGCTCCTGAAGCTCATGGAGTGTGGGAGGGACAGGAGTGAGGAGCAGGAGCTGGTCTTTGGGCCCCGGGCCAGGTGGTTTGGCCAGACTGCTATGGCGGGCGTGACCGCATCCTTCCCTGTGCAGGTAAAGTCCTGGGCAACCTGCAGTTGAACTTACTGAGCAAGTCCAAGGTGTACGAGGACCCGGCTCTGAGCGCCGTCTTCCTGCACAACAATTACAACTACATCCTCAAGGCCCTGGAGAAGTGAGTGGCTGCGCGTCCAGGTGGGGAAGCCAGTGCTTTACCCGGCATGGACCCAGGACCCAGGGCATGCGAGGCCACCCCACTGCTGTTGCTGCTGAGGCCGGCAGCTTTTGGGCCCTGGGAGCCAGTCCCATCCTCCTCTCCTGCCCCTACCCCCACCCCAGGTCTGAGCTGATCCAGCTGGTGGCTGTGACCCAGAAGAGTGCTGAGCGCTCCTACAGGGAGCACATCGAGCAGCAGATCCAGACGTACCAGCGCAGGTGGGCCCCGTCAGAGTGGGGTCAGTAGTGGGGAGCTGCTGCCCTGTGGACCCCAGTCCGCCACTTGTTTTTGAGCCACATTCATAGGGTAGAGAGGGAATCCCCCTCCCTTCCCCCAGGTCCTGCTCCCTGAGGGGGTGACGTGGCCGGTCGTCTGCCGAGGGTGAAGGCTCAGAAGAGTGGAAGGGCTGAGTGTCAGAGATGTGGGTAACATGTACCTCAAAAGAGAGCAAGGTTGCAGGACCCCTTGAACTCGGCTGAGCCCCGCTCTGCAGAGCGCCCTCTGCTCCTCTTGACCCCAGTTCCCCACCCTTGGTGGGTCTCCCTCCCTCTGTGTGTTTCTTCCCTGGGGGGCCTCCCTCTTCCTTCCCTTCATCTGTCCTCTGCTCCCTCCTTTCTTTCTCTTCTGCTTCTCCATCTGAATTTGCTGTGAGATCTATATGTAGTTCATAGTATTTGTTTAATTTATTAAATGCTGTGTTTCTTGTTCTTAATTTTAAAAGCAAGCACTCAAAGCTTTCCTACTCCCAAGGAAAACATCTCAGTTTTCTTCTGCTTAGTTGTGACCCAGATCGATTGTTGCCGTCCCCCATCCCCCCCCCAGTAGACCAAGAGATTAAAAAGGAGACCCAACGGCCCCAGGGAAGAAGCCGCTGCCTGCCGCTGATCCTTCTCTGCCCCTGCTTCTCTCCCTGCCCGGCAGTTGGTTAAAGGTGACTGACTACCTCGCTGAGAAGAATCTACCTGTATTCCAACCAGGGGTCAAGGTGGGCTCAAGGCCTGGGGTGGGGAGGGCTTTCCATCAGGTGTGATCCTTTCTGTTGTGTCTCTGGGAAAAAACGGACAAGTACCCTGCTGGGATGAGAGAGCAAAGGATGCCTGTGCCATCAGGGCAGCAGGAGGGAGAGCTGGGCTCAGATATTTGGACAAGGAGCAGGGGCAGGCGATTCTGCTCTGAGGAACGCTTTCCCCGCCATCTCTCCCAACCCCCCAGCTCCGGGACAAGGAGCGGCAGATGATCAAGGAGCGTTTCAAGGTGAGGTGGGAGCCTCTCCCCTCTGTTGCTCACTGCTGCTGTTGTACACATACAGACCCAGTGCATCAGTCTCTGGGTTGCTTCTGTATGCACCTTTTCGGTGGCCAGGGCTTCAATGACGGCCTTGAGGAGTTGTGCAAGATCCAGAAGGCCTGGGCTATTCCGGACACAGAGCAGAGGGACCGGATCCGGCAAGCTCAGAAAAACATTGTCAAGGAGACCTACGGGGCCTTTCTGCACAGGTGAGCCCTCCATCCCCGCCTTCCCCAGCCCTCCGCTCCCACTTCCTCGGGCTGGGCCCGGTGCTGTTCTCTGCTCGAAGAAACCTGGAGGGGATGGCAGATGCGGGGCCACCTGGGCTTTGGTGCAGGGCTAGACAGGGACATGACTCAGCAGTACCTTTCGGGAGTGCCTTAGGCTGAGGCGGAGCGGGGGAATTGAGCACCCCCCTGACCTCAGTGCCTGGGCAGGTACAGCAACGTGCCCTTCACCAAGAACCCCGAGAAGTACATCAAGTACCGTGTGGAGCAGGTGGGCGACATGATTGATCGCCTCTTTGACACCTCGGCCTGAGCCTGCTGTTGTCCCTGCCTGGTTCTGCCAGACCAGCCATGTTATTGGACACATAAACCAGTGTTAACTTGCCTCTGGACTGGGTGAGTTTGACATCCTTTGGGACAAGGACCTTTCTCCACCCTCTCCCCTGCCAGGAGCCCCGTCTCTCAACCCTTGAGTCCTGGTTTACACTTCTCCTCACAGTCCATGTTCCTTGTCAAACCAGCACGCTCCTGGGACACTGGGGTTTCTTCATGCCTTGGGTTTTGTGTCCCTGATTGCAGCCTGCAAGGGCCATGTGAAAGCTTTCACACAGGAAAAGGCAGAGGAGGACAAAGGCCTGTACTCACAGCCGCCACGTGTGGACAGGCGCAGGGGGGCAACACCAGCCTGCCTATAGCTCATTTCAGAGCCAGGCCTGGGGAACTCCCCGTTCAGCCCACAGTCCTGACGCCTAGGGGTGTTCTGCCCCCCGGGCAGCTGGAGCAGGAATACTCGCTGTCCTTGCTGTCTGGGGTCCAGCACACTGGCGGCAGGAGGTCAGAGCAGACCTGTCTCCCAGTCCCCAGTCAAGCCAAGCAGCAATGGTTGTAGAAATGCGGGCTGGGTGACTGGTAGACAGTGGTAAGAAGTTCAGGGACAGAGTGGGGGCCTGGCGCAAGGCGGGGCCCCAGCTCCTCAGGACGAGTGAACAGCTGAGCTCCATGCAGACAGACCCTTGAGGTGCACTTGCACTTGGGTAATGAATTTATTTCACATTGCTTGCATGCTAACAGGAGAGCTCAGGGTGCCTGAGGTCCTCCAGGCATAAAGGAGAGAGTTGGCCCCTCTCCCCTCTTCCCAGCACCCCTGTTATGGCCCTCCCCCAGGTCTGCAGCCCCAGCCCTGCTCTGGTACAGCCTGGGCTGCCCTCCATGGGGTGCAGCCTCGTCAGGGACTGGGTCATACTTGCACATCACCCACACCCAGAGACCAGCGAAGACGAATTGGCTGCATATCACCCCATCACATACACCAGGAAGATTTGCTCAGCAGCCTCATCCCAGCTCTTCCTTGAGCCCTGTCCTCCTCTGGGGACTCCTATGAGGAGAGAGGCAGGGAAAGGAGCTGTGCTTTGGGGCTCACCCAACACGCTCTCCCAGAGCAGAAGAGTAAACCGAAGGGGTGTCGGCCTGCAGTCCTCCTGTAGTTCACAATTAACGAGTATTTGGGTCTGGCCCATTCTAGCCATCTTAAGTTGAAGAAACACCCCTATAGAGAGGCTTCCTGGGGCACAGGGTTGTCTCTGGGAGTGTGCAGTCACCCAAGCCGTTAGGGAGGCTAACCTTGCCCCTCCACACCCACTTCTTCCGTGGGCAGACATGGTGGAGCCCAGGGACAGCAGAGCCGGCAGAGGGAGTGCAAGGAGCCTCTCAACAGCCTAGCAACCTCTGACCCTGGCCCCAGCCCCAGCTGAGCCGCCTGCCGGCTCTGTCCCTGTCAGACCTGCTTCTAGCCTCATTCCTTTCCATCCCCCAAGAAAGGGCCCCTGCCCACCTTCAGGTTCGTGGCCACGATCTTGCTATTCCCACCTCAAGGCCGAGCTGGGGCTGCACCTGGCCCTGAGGTTGCCCTGGGCCAGCAACCCGGCCAGCGGCACAGACTCCGTGGTGTGATGAAGAGCGGCAGGTCGGTGAAATAGTAAACTGGGCGGGGTGTGCGGGAGGGGGTCAGGGGCCAGGCCTGTGCCTCTAGTGCCCAGGAAGCTAAACAGAGGCCCCCCGGCTCAGGTGACAGGAGGTGTGGAGGAATGAGGCAGGCCAGGCAGTGCGGTCCTGCCCAGGGCCAGGAGGGCACAGGGTTTACTGAGCAGTGGGTTGCAAGAAGAAGAGCTGGGCAGAGCCACCAGGGAGGAGTAGAAGACGAGATCGATAGCCCAGCAGCAGGGCCACCTTGCAGGCAATGTGCTGGGTGACCTGAAGGGGCAGCAACCCACCCGCACATGTCAGCAAACGGCAGCGCCTCCCCGGGCACCAGCAGAGCCATGATGGCCTCCAGTGCTGTGTTGTGCAGGCGTAGCTGGAAGACATTCGAGCTGGGCAGGGGATGGGCAGTAGAATGGCGATGTCAGGCCTCTAGCTCGGCATCCTGAACACCCCACCAGCCCTCCATCAGCCACCTCCCTACTCACTGTCACCTGGAAGCAGGGCACAAGCTGCTGGGGTCTGATTTGGGTTTTCAAGTCCCAGACTACATATTCCCCCTTGACGCCCACAATCTCATTTACCTGGAACTCCTGCTCATCCCTGGAAGGGGTGAGGGTGAGAATGGTGACCTAGGAAAGGACACCCCTGCCCCCAAATCTCTCATGGGAGTAGGGGTAGGGACAAGCTGGAGCTCAGGGACAATGGAGACTTCTGATGGCTGGGGTGGCTTGTCCAGTTGGAGGAAAGGCGCCTTATCTGGTTCACAGATGAGTTTTCATTGTAAAAATAAATGAACTTTGCACCACTTGTGGACAGGGAGGTGGTGACAGACATGTCTACTGGTGCATCACCTTGCGCTGCACTAGAGGATCATGGGGTGGCAGCTGCGGCACTTCCCAGAGGGGAGGGACCTGAGGGATGGATGGGAATTCTCTACCAAGTTAGACATGACCTTGTGGGTCTGGGATGTTTACTGGTGGCTACACCTTCAGGATATTTCCAGGAATGAGGATGCAGCAACCTGAGCCTCCGGGCTTAACAGGAGCCCCGCTCCACTGCAATCTGGTCCAGGCTGTTGAAGGCAGTTGCCCTGGAGTAGCTGAGGGGGAGGAGAGACCTAGGCAGGGCTGCTGGGTAATGGGCTGCTCCTTAAAAGGGGAGAGGCAGGGTGAGAAGCTCATTCACTCTAGGGTCTCTTCAGCTCCCCTAAGCCTGGGGATTCAAGGGTGTGAACATAAGCTGGCTGCGCTGGTGTCAAAGGTGCTGGAAGCTCCCCCGCCCCAGCCCCCAAGAGCACAGAAGCTGAGGCTGCAGTTGCTGTGTCCCTGGGGAGGGGAAAGAGCTCAAGGTCACAGTTGGTCTCTGTGGTGAGGGCCAGGTAGAGCCCGACATGGCCATCTGGGTCCACTCGGGCCTGTGGCTTCTGGTCCTGCCAGTCCACCCCGAGCGTGTGGGGGAGAGGCATCACAGCCGAGACCAGCCCCTTCCCTGAAGGCAGAGCCCCGCATACCCCCAGCTGCAGTGGCAGAAGGTGGGGGAACGCAGGGCAGTGATCCAGGGCACCCGTGGCCTAGCAGGAGCATGGAGGGGGTGGGTGGGTCTTCACTAAGGGCCTCTGAGCCTAAATGAGAGGGATATGTGGGCTGGGCTCCTGGGGTGGGAACTCCCGCCTCCTGGACAATGAGGCCCGGCATCCAGAGTGAGCCCCAGGGCAGCGTGACCACACGCTGCGGGTATACACTCGTGTTCCAGGCCAGGCGAGTGTCCAGCCAGGACTGGAGACACAGGAACGTCACTAAGGCTCCCGCTCTCCATGCATACACACGCTCCTCAGCGTGGTGGATCTGTGAAGCTGGGCTGGAGCAGTTCTGCTGTCCCCCCTCCGCTGTGAGTGCTCACCAGCCGAGGCAGCAGCATGGAAGACGCCCTGTACCGCAAGATATCCTGCAGGAGGGGGTAGCACATCACCCAGGGGCGGGCTCTGTGACACAGGAAGGCAGGAGACCCAGCTCAGCACTTGGGTCCCACTCCCTCCACTGCCTGAGGATACTTAGAGATGTTTGACACGAACACCTGCATGTCCACGAGTAGGGGTGCACTCCCATTGTTTGGGGTGTGCTCCCACTGTTTGGAACCTGGGTGGTTTCCTGAACCTCCTGGGGAGAGTTGAGTTTGAGGAAGGATAGCCAAACTGAGGAATGGAGATCACCCAGGTGCCCTAGGGCTCAAATCCCAAAGCTTGTGACTTTTCACTGCCCTCCACTCACCAACCACTGACAGACAGAAGGCATACCCGTGGACCAAGGGCAGGGTGCTGCCCAACCTGAGGAAGGCTGGATGGGGCAGGAGCTGCAGGGCCATCATCAGGGGATCTCGGAGGGGCTGGACCGAGCAGTGGCGCCCACGCTACAACCTCTATTTCAATCGCCTCTCTAAGGGACTGGGCAGTTTGTGGGAGGCAGCTGCTCTGTGCAAAGACCCTGGAGTCTTGGATTGGCACCCCACCCCCACCCACCTCAGGTTCTGCAAACACCTGGAAACAAAGCCCAGGACCCAGCCCCGCCCACCCTGACCCCTCCTAGGCTTTCCTCTCCTGCCCCATTTCCACCACCTGAAACCAGTTGCCATGTCCAAGGCCTGCCAAGCAGCCAGGGCAAGCACAGGAGCCCCCACACACCTTTCCCTCCCTGAGCCCGCTACCCCTGCTTTTCCATAGCAAGCACCCACCTGGTTAAGTACCTAAGCCCTTGCCAAAGTGCCCTGTGCTCAAAGAGGTGAGATGGGTACACCCTTGAGTTTTAACACTGAACCGATTTCCAGTAAAAAGCTTTGGCTCAATAACTACAGGAACAGAGGTTAGCAGCTCATAAGCAAAGCCTTGGGGCATTCCTGTTCCCCCACGGGGTTCTCAAGCTGCTCCTGTCCAGGGGTGCCTTGGAACCACCAGGAGCGGGGCTAGAGGGCGTGGGGGGCTACTTCCGGGCTTGGAAGAGAAACAGCCCTTGGAGACCTGATCCTGAACAACTGCAGCGAGGGAAAGAAACCCTAAGGCCGCGGAGCCCCAGGGACCCCAGGAACCTGGGAGCAGGCAAGAACACCCTACACGCTGGCGCGTGAGCACTGCTAGAGAAATACACGTAGTGTCTGTGCCTGTCATCAACTGACTGCGGTTCAGCGCGCTTAAACACTGTCTGCGTTTGTCTCATGTATTGGTGGCTGCTGGTTCGCGGATTCATATACACCAGGAGTTTCCGTATGGCCACGTGCAAGGAGCCTTCAGTTGTCCCGCGCTCCCCAGCGTCAGGGATTTCTGTGCAGTTCATAATTCAGCTACCCTCTTTCCCTGGTAGCTCAGCAAAGCGCCCTACGCATTCATCCAGAGCTGCTACCCTGAGAAGTCCCAGAGGCTTCTTACCGCGGAGCTCCTGACCATGAGATACGCGGAGAGACAGCGGCCACTGCGTGTGAACAGCGCCTTTTTGTTAACAGACGAAACACCCTCCACGATCCCAACCTCTTCCTCCTATGCTTTAACATCCAAGCGTATCCCCTAAATGTCCCCAGGTCACGTTAACTGTCAGGATGCCGTTGGTCTCCCCAGGACAAGCTGGGGACCAGGCTGGCGGCTGGGCCGCTGAGAGGCTCCGGCCCAGGGGCAGACGGCCCTGCTGCCTCTCTCACGTGCGTCAGGTCGGAGGACTCGCGTTCCTGCGCGCTGCTGCCGTGGGTGCCCTGCGCCGCGACGCACACGCGGCCCGAGACTCTGCGTGGGGCGCGGCGCAGCAGGCCGGCGCAGATCTTAAGGAAGCCTTTGCGAAAGTGCTTGGAGACCAACGCGTAGACTATGGGATTGACGCATGAGTTGGCGTAGGAGACCAGGTGCGAGAGGATGCGCAGCGCGTAAGTGGCGCGCGTAAGCGGGAAGCGGCCGAACCATACGCAGAGGATAAGCGCGTGGTGAGGCAACCAACAGAGGCAGAAGAGCGCGGCCACGATGACGATCATGCGCGTCACCTTGCGCTTGGCTCGGCGGGCGCAGGAGCCGGCGGCGCCCGGGGCGACGGCGCGCCAGAGGTGGCGTAGAGTGCGCGCGTAGGTCAGGCCAAGCACCAGCAACGGCAGCAGGTAGCTGAAAACTAACGTGCAGAGGTCCATGGCGCGGCGGCGGGGCGCGGTCCACGTCGGGTGGCACACAGTCAGGTTGGCCAACCGCGACTGGCGGTAGTAACTCAGGTAGGGCCCGGAGAAGAGCAGGGACAGCCCCCAGATGAGTCCAATAGCCGCCAGCGCGTTCCGAGGCGTGCGCAGCTCACGGGAATGCAGCGGGTAGCGGATGGCCAGGTACCTGCGGGTCAAGCCAGGAAGAGAGACGGGTGAGCGAGCGGGCTGATCCGCAGGGCAGGGCCGGACCCCTGAACCTCGAGCCCCACATCCTTTCTTGAGGAAAGTCCCTAGCGCAGAGCCGCACTGAACACTGCCGGAGCATCCTGGACACTCTGATGTGCGTCTAAATGTAGGGTAGGACCCGACAGCGTATAGGCGACTTCTCTGCTTTTCCCTGGAGGAAAAAGTCAGGAGGGCACCCTGAAGGTCGACATGGCTCTGGGGCCCCGGGAGGCTGTGATTACCAGCAGTGACAGTACCAGGGTGTTACTTGGTGGGCCCCAGGCACCTTGAGGCTCTAGCAGCCAGCCAGGAGACACGCCAGTCAGGCAAGGCACCTCGAGGAAATTCCTTAGAGAAGCCGTCGCTGTGTGGATTCCACCGGCGCGCTCTCAGAACCAACTTACGGCGCTCAGCGGAACTGGGAGGTATATGGGGAATGTGGCCTCACTCTCTGCTTGTCGGGGGAGGTCAAGAGGACGCGGGGGGCGTAGGATGCGAGAGAGATACCGGAGTCAGACCTGGATATCCTCCCCAGGAATCATTCAGGTGTTCTTCCAGGCTCCAGCAGGGGGGTGGGGGGAAGGGGGGCCCATCCAGCGAGTTCCTCTCTCTGGCCTTGACCCCGGGCCTGGAGGTGGAGCGCAGAGTGGGGTAGGACCGAGCTGGGAACCCTCCGGTGCGTGCGCCCGTTCGGACTTTGGCGTGGGTCCCTCGCGAAGGAACCAAATTCCGCAGTCCGGATCTGAATCCACTGTGCCAAGCAAACCGTGACTTCAAGTCTAGCAAGGTAGAGGCGCCAGGAGTTTGATGCCAGGGGACCGTTGGTTCACAAACACGTTAATTGGATGGGCAACTCTGAGCAAGTCACTTATGGACTCGATCTCGTCTATAAATTGGGCACAGTATGCCCCGCATCCTCACAAGGGCACTTAGCTCAAGCCAGACCACGCACGCAAAGACGCTCTGTACCTGGAAATGCTGCTTATTGTCAGGCGTCGGTGGCGCTGGAGAGCTGAGGGTCTCCAGCCTGCAGACCCAAGGGCGTACCTAACCGAAGCACGCCGCGGTCCCCATTCTTATTTCTTTCTCCTCCTCCGCTCCCGCTTGTCTTTCACTCACCCTCCCTCCGTCCCTTTGCCTTCTCAGCGTCCTTTTTTATTTCCTGCGCATCTCTCCTTGACCCTTGAGCGCCGCCCCCTCCTTCTCCAGTGCCTGCCTGGATTCCCGACCCCCTGAGGCCTCCAGGGTGCTCCTTCACCTGTCCAGGGAGACAGCGGCGAGCGTGAAGCTGCTGGCGTGCATGGTGAGGAAAATAAGAAAGTGCACGACCTTGCAGAGCAGCGAGCCGAACACCCAGCCGTCCAGGGTGTAGATGGTGGCCTGGAAGGGCACGCAGCACACGATGAAACACAGGTCGGCCACGCCCAGGTTGAGGATGAACAGGTTGGTGGTGCTGACCGCCTGGCCGCCGCGCAGCAGCACGGCCAGCACCAGCGCGTTGCCCACGGTGCCCAGAAGGAAGATGAGCGCGAATAGCGTGGGCACAATGACCGCCTCAGGCTGCCAGCTGCCCCCGCCGCCCGCCTTGCCTGCGTGCTCGGCCCCCGGGCCACCCGAGACATTCATGGTGCCGCCGAACCGGAGGCCACCCGAGCTCCTACAGCCGCCTGGGTCTTTGAGAGCTCGCGGCTCCCGCCGCTGCAGCGCCCAGCTTGACTAGGCGGAGCTGCGGGCGGAGTGAGCCTCGCGTGGGTGCGGCGGAAGATGGAAGTGCTGGCGGTCAGGGGGAGATGGAAGTGCGGGGGTGTCAGGGGGAGGAGCAAGCACCGGAGGGGTGCGATGGTCCCCCGCGGCGGCCGGCGCGCTGCGGGCAGGGCTGTCGGGGGTGGGCCCTGCGCTTCGCGGCGGAGGCGCAGGCAGCCCACCCGGAGTTGGAGAGCCTCGCCCGGCCTGCGTCCGGCTCTCCCGCTTCGTGGGCGCGCTCCTGCGCACGGGTCCGGGCTGTGCGGGGCTGAGCGGCGAACTGACCTTCCAGGCAGACGCCAGAGTGGTGGAGAGACCGCCAGCCGGCTCCTGCGAGTGCCCTGCGTTGACTGGAGTGCCGGCCCTGGACCCCCTGGCGGCCCCCAGGGGGTGGAGGGAGCGGAGATGGCAACCGGCGAGGCGGGTGGGGGAGCCACGGTTTTCCAGAGCTGGAGAATGGGACGGCTTTCAGCGCGCTCCGCGCCTCTTACCATTTCTAGTTCCCAGATGCGCTGAGCCTCACAGGAGCCCTAGAGACCCTTGGTGGGAAGGGTGGAAGCACGTTTTTGAGGGAACTTGGTTAGCTTCATCTCATTCCCTTCGCTCCCTCACTGAGAGTTTCTCCCTCCAATCCAATCTAATAATATTTATGGAACATCTCCTGTATGTCAGGCTCTGTCCTTGGCACTGTGCTTCAGTTTCTCTAGCTGTGAAGTGGGATCGGAGCACCATGTCAGAGGGCTGTGGTGGGAATGGAATAAGCTGTGTGTGAGGAGGTCTGCAAGCCAGTTAGCTGAATCTGAATGAATCGAATCTTTTTCTTTGCCTGCTTACCCTAGTCAGATACTCAAAAAGGGAAACTCAAAGGAAATACAAAATAGCAGAGTTCAATGCCCAGCAGCACTTTCCTAGATGGCCGGGAAGGTGTTTAGTTTGCAATAAAACTTAAATAGTTGTATCTAATTTTGATGTATTAGGCACTAAGCATTTGTGAGATGAACTATTTACTGTTTCTATAAAATTTAACCCTTCCAGTTCACTGGGTCTGAAAATCACCACCTTCTGCCACTGTAGCTTACTCTCTGAGTCACCTTTCTCTCCCCCCTTCCTTGGGTCCCAGTCAGGAACGTTCTTTTTCCTCTTCTCCCCCACTCCGCCCACTTCTCTAGGTCAGGAAACCTTATTCACACCGCTGCCCTGCCTGCCTATTCACTGAATAGGAAGATAATAGCAGCTCGCGTTTATGAGATGTTCGCTGTTCATTCAGTCAGTAACCTCCTCCATGCCAGGCACTGTTCTGAGTCCTTGGAATATATCAGTGAGCTCGACAAAGGTCAGGACTTCCATGAGCTTCCTTTCTAGCAAGGGAGACAGGCAAACATAACTCAAGTTATTACCATATTGCAAGTTGGTAAGTACTTCAGGAAAAGTAGCTCAAGTAAGGGAACTGGGACTACTGTGGTGGTGGTGGTGATGGTGCAATTTAAAATAGGATGTTCAGGCAGACCTCACTAGCAAGGTGACATCTCAGCAAAGACTTGCAGGAGGTGAAGGAGCTAGCCTTGGATCTATCTAGGGGAAGAACATTCCAAATAGAACAGCCAGTGCAAAGGCCCTAAAGCAGGAGTGTACTTGTGTCCCTAATCAAGGAGGCTAATATAGCTCAGCCGAATGAACAGAAAAAGACTGGCAGAAGAGAAGGTGAGAAGTACAGCAGCACGTACAGCTCTTTTCCATTGTAAGGACCATGGCTTTTAGTCTGAGTAAAATGAGAAGCCACTGCAGGGTTTTGACTAGGGCACCAACGCGATATGACTTACTTAAAAAATTTTTTTATTGCAATATAATTCACATGCCATACAATTTACCCATTTGAAGTGTTCATTTGTTTTTAGTATATTCACAGTTATGGAACCATCAGCACAAAAAAAATTATAACATTTTTGTTTCTCCCCAAAGAAACCCCTACCCTTTGGCCATCAGCCAGCAACCTCCACCCCAAGCCCCAGTCCTAAGCAACCACCGTCTATCTATAGATTTACCTATTTTGAACATCTCATATAAATGGAATCACAAAATATGTGGCCGCCTTTCACTCAGCATAATATTTCGTAATACATGTTGTAGCATGTGTCAGTACTTCATTGCTTCTAAGGGTCAAATATTCCATTGTATGGTTATACTGCACTCCATTCCTCCATTCATTTGTCAATGGGCATTTGGGAAATTTACTTTTTTAAGATATATTTTTGTGGTAAAATATACAAAACATACAATTTAACTATCTTAAACATTTTTAAGTGTATGATTCAGTAATGCTAAGTGTATTCACACTGTTGTGCCACCAACCTCCGCAAGAACTTTTTAATCTTGCAAAACTAAAACTCTATACCCATTAAAATATAACTTCCCATTTCCCCTGCATCCAGCCCCCGGCATCCACCATTCTCTGGAGTTTCATGAATTCAACTCCATGAGATACCTCATGTGCAATCATACTATATTTGTCTTTTTGTGACTACCTTATTTAGCACAGTATTTTCAAGCTTCATCCATGTTGTAGCACATGAGAATTCCCTTGTTTTTAAGGTGAAATAATATTCCACTGTATGGATATACCACCTTTTATTTACCCTTCAAGGTCCACTGGGTTGCTTCTATTTGTTGGCTACTGTGAATATGCTGTTACGAATATGGATGTGGAAATATCTCTTCAAGACCCTCTTTCAATTATTGTGCATACATACCCAGAAATGGAATTGCTCCATCATATGGTAATTCTTTAATTTTCTGAAGAACCATCAAACTGTCTTCCACAGTGGCTGCACCATTTTACATATGCACCAAGAGTACACCAAGTTTCCAATTTCTCCACATCCTTGCCAATACATGTTATTTTCTGTTACAGTTGATTCTTGAAAAACATGGGGTTTGTTTTCAAGAACAAAAACATGATAACCAGGCAGTTGAAAACTCATGTATAAACTTTTGACTCCCACTAAAACTTTACTACTAATGGCCTGTTAACTAGAAGCCTCTCTGATAACATCGTCAATTAACATTGTATTTTCTATGTTACATTATATATAATATTCTTACAATAAATTAAGCTACAGAAAATGGCCTTTCAAAGTATCTCAAGTCTCCAAACATTTTTCCAATATTTTAAAAATCCACGTATAAGTGCATCCACGCAGTTCAACCCCGTGTTATTCAAGGGTCAATTGTACTTTTTTTTTAAGTAAACACCTTATTGGGTGTGAGGTGATAGTTCACTGTGGCTTTGATACACCCTAGCGATTAGTGATGTTGAGCAGAGACTTTAAAATACGTTTTATTTAGTCTTCCTAACATCCCTCTTTAATTCGTTATCGTATTTCCCAGATGACAGATACGGTTTAGAGAGAAAGTTATTTGCCCATCGTTTCTCCCAACCAGCTGCAGCGGAGCCGCAGGACTCAAGACTCCAGAGCCCGCGGTGCTCTAACTGCAGAGCAAAGCTTCGAAGTGTCCCTCCGCTCAGCACTTGGCCCGCGGACAGCCGCCCCGACGTCCAAGGAAGCCACGGGGACCCTGCAGGCTGAGAAAGTTCCTTCTTCGGGCGCTGCTTGCTGACCCCACAGCGCTTCCTTTCTCAGGGTTGGTTCCCTCTCAGGCCGGGTGCTCCGTCCCGGTAGCGTGGGAACCCCACCTCCCGAGTCCCCCAGGAGGCAGACTCCCCGAAACGCAAGGCCCTTAGCCAACCGCCCCGCACTCTGTGGTCGGAACGTGAGCCGAGTCCCCAGTGCGGGAGCTGGGGGTCCACGTCCGGTCCCCTGCCCTTGGGCCCAAGGTGGGACTGCCCCCGAGAAGACCTCAGCAGCAGTGGTTCCCCCCCGCCCGAGGGCCCCAGGCCCGCCACCGCTCGGGACCGGGTGTCCCAGCGCTCGCGCGGGAGTGCGCCAATGGGTGGCCGCGGCCTGCGGGCCGGGCCGTGGGCGGCGGGGTCCGCCGCTATCCCGGCAGGCCGTCCCGCGGGTCCCGCTCTCTTCCGCCGCGGCCGTCCCTCCTCCTCTATCCCGTCCTGCTCTGCGGCGCAGGGGCAAGATGGCTGCCGAGAAGCAGGTTCCTGGCGGCGGCGGCGGCGGCGGCGGCGGCAGCGGGGGTAGCGGCGGCGGCGGCGGCGGACGCGGGGCAGGCGGAGAGGAAAATAAGGAAAACGAACGGCCTTCAGCCGGATCGAAGGCAAACAAAGAATTCGGGGATAGCCTGAGTTTGGAGAGTATCCTGGAGTAATCGGGCCTAACTCGCCATGACTACGTGTCGATCGGGCGGACCGGGGGCGGGAGAGGCGGCGGGTGCCTGCAGGTCCTGGGCAGGAGAGGCCGAGGGAGGCAGTTTCTCTTACTTTTTGGCACTCAGAATTACAGGGTCTGTATTTCCGCATGCCTTTTCTCGCATCTCCTTCGCCCTTCAGGCGGGGGGACGTCCTTTTCTTTCAGGCGGCACCGGGGTAACTGGGCAGATTTCTGTACTTGCCCTGTTGGAGGGCTGGTGACGGGGATGACACTCTGACCACCCCGGTGAGCTCCTGCCTGGGCACCCCGAGCCGCTGAACTGGAGAGAAGAAACTGCAATCCCGACGTTTTGACTTAATACTTTTGCCTGACAGCCGTCGGAGAATGGGTAGTAAAAATTGCAGTTTGATGCTCTGAAAGTGGAGGCAAAGTTTGCTCTAAAGAAAAGCTTGCGGCCCATTTTGGATACTAAATCGTCGTAGCTTGTTAACATGACTTGTATACCTTTCTTACTGGGTCTGTGTGCATTTTACCTCCTTGAGAATTCAAATAAGCTGGAGTTCTGGTAATCGGTTTCCAGTTTTGTCAAGAGTATCGCAAGTGCTTACGACGCTAGTTTGTGACTCTTTGAAATAAGGAACGTGGGGAAAATGTACTTCTGACACATTTAACTTGACATCTGAATGCAGTTACGTTTTGGAGCTTTACTTTTCAAACTGGTGGTATAATTCCAAATAGATGTTAGAATGCCTTGATTTTACTGCAAACTTTGTATCTCCTTGTTCCTTTCTAGTTACTGAAATAGTTCTTTCAGTGTTCAGTATTTTTAAATACATGTGTGGAAAAACACTAAGGAAACTTTAAAAGAAAAACTGTAGGTAAAGCTCTTTGGATTCCTAAATCTTCGTACATAATCTTAAAATATTTTGTGATTCTTAAAAAAGAGTTTGCTCAGGCCTTTTTCTTTTACAAGAAAAACATTATTAATATTTTTAGGCAAACTGTGGCCTAGTTTGATAGGCATGTGCTAACCAAAGACTTGTGCAACATCACAGCTGTTAAGGAAAGTAAAATTTGGCACACATAGGAGGTTATGCAACGAGCAGAGTAGTACACGTAAGTCATTTATAACCTGAACCTGCTTGAATGGGTAAAATACTGGGTCCAGGTGTAAAACGGTGGGAACCACTCCAGTTATACTCAGCATTAAGAATCCAGCAACTTCATTTAAGCTGTTGGGTTTTAGTAATCCTCCGTGGTTCATAATGCCCTCCTGTTTTAGTTTGAAAGTAGAAACAGTTCAGGGCTTCAGCTTTTCTGCACCTTTAGAAAAGCCCGTCCTATGACAAGGTGGCTGTTGAAAATGGTGGCAAGAGATTTCACTAGTTAATGAACCAAGTATTTCAGAAATGCTTAGTGTGCTGTGGGTTGATACAAATACAATCTAAAGAGGACATGTACTGATTTATTTGGATTCTTGCCATTGTAAGTTTTTCCTTAATCTTGACTCTAGTTCTTCAGATTATTAAGGAATCCCAGCAGCAGCATGGTTTACGGCATGGGGATTTCCAGAGGTACAGGTCAGTGTCATGTATGAGATGTATGGCGGTCACTGTGGAATTTTCAAACTCAGTTTGGTTTCACCGATATCCTGCCGGCTCATAAATCAGAAAGTGTACCTAGAAAGTCTAGCTCTGAATTTATATTGAATCCTCAGAAGGTCCTTAATATTCAATTTTAAGGTTTATAGTGAATAAAAGGAGCCAATCTTTTTATCTATTTTGCCTCACAATATTTCAGATACACCGGAAGCTTCTGCTGAAAATAACAGGCAGTTATAGTGATTACCATATTGTAGAGTCTCGGTTAAATGGAATGCCTTCCACATTTTAAACATTATATAAGGGGAATTTCTGTTATATCATTAAAATTATTGGTAAATTTTATAACAGTCTTCAAGTTGGGGTATAAATTTAGCATGACTCTTAAAATTAGAATAGATGCCTAATGTATAATACAGTTCAGTACTTTGAAAGTAGAAATATCCAGCTATTTAGGCTTTGACTACCTGGTTTTTAAAAGTACTATCCAAAATACTCTGTGTCTCAGATTCTGAGGAATCAGCCATGCGGTGAAGGGTCAGCAGTGCTGGGGCAGAGTGAGAGTGGCTGGAGCTGAATTGGGACAAGTAGGCAGGGCCAGAATGTGTGGGGCCCTGTGGGCCAGGGAACTCATTCAGGTGTTAGTCTAGGGGTGGTGGGAAGCCACAAGAGAGTTTTAAATAAGAAACTATTATGACGTGATTTTTTTTGGTAATTATTAAGGAAATTTTCAAAGCAAGTGTAGAAATGATAGTACAGCAACCCCAACACTCAAGTTATTATGGCTGTCAACCTTCTGCCCTTTTTGGGTCAACTGTTCCCTCTCCTTTCTTTAAAAACATTAAAGTTTTTTTTTACAATTTTATTGAAGTATAATTTATATACAGAAAAGAGTACAAAAAATAGTGAGTTTTTCACAACCTATAACCAGCTCCCAGATTAAAAGGCAATACTCCCAGCATCCCAGAAGTCCCCCTTTTGCTCCTAATCATAAACCTTTTTTCCCCAAAAGGTCACTGCAGTCATGATTTCTTCTACCTTAGATTAGGTTTGAAATGTGTCCTCTGAAATACCAGTCATACTGCCCAGCATGTTTCACTTCAGTAAATGTTTTCAAGATGTTGTGTGGTTTCTATAGTAACCATAAGTAGAATGCCTTAAACCTTTGACCTTATAGAATTTACTTTTTGAAACTATTGCCAGGTTGGCTGAACAATTTTTGCTTGTGGTTTCTCACAGGGGCTACTGTTCCCGTAGACAAAGACGTCTCCGGAAAACACTCAACTTCAAGATGGGGAACAGACACAAATTCACAGGGAAGAAAATAACTGAAGATCTTCTGACTGATAACAGGTATTGACTGCTCAGTGCTAGGTGTGAAATATTCCTTGTTGATAGATTTATTGAACAATTACGACATGCCAGACATTGTGCCAAATCTAAATGTTAAAGTCAGTGGTTAGAATCTAATCAGTTATTAGGTAAGATTTCTAGAATACAAATTTCCATGTATAAGTGCCTGCTTAAATCAGTATATCTCAAGTGAAATATGGCTATGTAAATTATTACAGAAGAGTTCTGTATTTCAGTGCCAATTGCACTCATTACTATTTGCTGAAAGATGAATCTGTCAACCAACATGTGTTAAAGGTCTCCAGGTCAGTTCCTCAAAGTTCGGCTATAAGCCAAATTGTTTCTTCTGTCACCTGTTTTTATAAATAAAGTTTCATTGGAACACAGGCACACCACTCATTTAGGTATTGTTTGTAACTGCTTTTGTGCAACAATAGCAGAGTAGCTGTGATGAAGACCATATAGCCTACAAAACCTAAAATATTTACTATTGGGCCCTTTACAAAAAAATGTTTGTTGTCTCCCGGCTAGCCTGTGGCCAGGACTGACCTGACACTATATTGGGAAGCACAGTTCTTAAACCGCATTGACTATGATCTTGTCAATAGACGTTGGTGAAGTACAAAACAGGAGCTCTACAAAAGAGCAAAATCGCCATATTGTGTGTCATTTACTTTCAAGAATTCTAAAGTCTTAGAAGGGAACAGCTAGCTTGTGGGTTCTTGATTGGGAAGCTAGGAAGCCAGCATGGAGGAGGCTGGACCTTGAAAGATTAGTGAGAGGAAAAAACATTCTATGCCAGGGAAAAGAGCATGCCATGGTGTCTGAATGCACCCTCGGAACTGTAATGCTGTGGACAATTGTTAACTGCTTCTCAGGCACCAAAGAGTTTGGGAGCTTGGTGTATGGAGACACAGTCAGAAAACTAGAGCATAGAGACTGTTCTGGGCTTTAGCAGGGTGTATGATTAAATCTGATGAGCTCAAGTTAGGAAGAGTCTCTTAGGATGTCAAGATCCTTTATTTTGGAGAGACAAGATAAAGCTGACATTTAAGAAAGATCAAGGCAGTAATTTAAAGAAAGATTCACCAAAATAGTAATAGAGAGGCTAACTTATTTAGGCCTGAGAAGGTGTCAGGCTCTGGTCTAAGTGTGTTAACATGTATCACTACATGGGACAGTGAGGCACAGAAAGGTAGTACTTGGCCCAAAGTCACAGCACTGAGATTCCAACCGAGACTCTAGAGCCACCTTCTTAACTACTTCAATATATTGCCTGTTAAGGACTTGGATTCTAACTGGGTTGGGATGAAGGAGGTGTTGATTCAAAGATGAGGCCAGGTTGTGTGCCTGGGCTACGTCTGTTTGCTAAAATTTGGGAGGGGCAAGTCTGGGTTTACCGAATTTGAGGTAGCAGCAGACGTTTCAGTGAGACAGCTGGTAGGTTGTTAGAAGCCTGCCGTGGAGCCTGAGTCCGAATCCGAGACGCTGATCTGGGGGTTGTGGTTGATGCCATGAGAAGAGCAGTTCTGAGGAGGAAAGCCAGGGAGAGTGTAGGAAAAAGATCGTGCCTCAGAGAATATCTGAGTCTGATGCTCCTGGCCTTTAGCATTCAGTCTCCTGTGCTCTCTCTGATGTAGATACTTGCTTCTGGTTCTGATGGATGCTGAAAGAGCCTGGAGCTATGCCATGCAGCTCAAACAGGAAGCCAACACTGAACCCCGAAAACGGTTTCACTTGTTGTCTCGCCTGCGCAAAGCTGTGAAGCATGCCGAGGACCTGGAATGCTTGTGTGAGAGCAATCGCGTGGATGCCAAGACCAAGCTAGAGGCTCAGGTTAGCACCCTAAAATCAGCTTTGCTCTGTTGTGGCCATTAGAGATGTCACATGACTTTACAGTTAACTAGAACAGAGCTGCTTATGTCACATATTGAGAGGAGAGGAAAAAGCCTGATTTTGCTTTTTCAAGGTGAAGTTGGCATCTGTTGTTTTTAAGCTGTTGGTTTTTAGTAATTAGCTCTAATTTTTAAAGAAAACTTACGCTTCTTTTGATTTGAAGATGGAAAACTTGAATCTTAGATTTGGGAAAGTTTGTAAAATAAGAATTTTTTTGCAAGTTTATATTCATCTTCTGATACTTACATTATCATCCCAGAAGCTGGTTGTTGAGTGAAATGAAGAAAATAACTTTCCTTAATTTTGCACTTCTCTCCTGAGAAGTAGTGAATCAAAACAAATGATCTCATTGTACTAGTGAAATAAGTTTTTCTTTTTTAAAATCAGTGCATTCTTGACATCAAAGCTCACAGCAGGTAGAGGCGGTGGAGCTGTAACAGTGGCCGCGGGCGGTGAAGCAGCCCCTCTTTCCCTGTCCCCTGCCAGGCGTACGCGGCTTGCCTCTCGGGGATGCTGCGCTTCGAACATCAGGAGTGGAAGGCCGCCATCGAGGCTTTTAACAAGTGCAAGTAAGTCCTCCCGTCCGAAGGCTGCGGCCGGTTTTGACAGCGCATAGATGCGAGCTGCAGGTTGGTCAGTGACTGTTTCTGTGAAAGTTAGTACAGTTTTTTTTCTTCCTTTAGAAATGTTGATTATTCCTTCATCCTTAGAACATGCCAGTTCTGGTAGTTGGTAGAAGGGCCTCGACATGCCGTGTTTTGTTTATTGCCACTGTGTTCCTTATGAGTTTGTTTTCTTAAGGCTGCTGTGGAACCTGATGTTTCTTTCCTCACAGAACAATCTATGAGAAGCTAGCCAGCGCTTTCACAGAGGAGCAGGCCGTGCTGTACAACCAGCGTGTGGAAGAGATCTCGCCCAACATTCGCTACTGTGCATATAACATCGGTGAGCAGGGAATTCGCTACTGTGCATGTAACATTGGTGAGCAGGGAATTCGCTACTGTGCATGTAACATTGGTGAGCAGGGAATTCGCTACTGTGCATGTAACATTGGTGAGCAGGGAATTCGCTACTGTGCATGTAACATCGGTGAGCAGGGAATTCGCTACTGTGCATGTAACATTGGTGAGCAGGGAATTCGCTACTGTGCATATAACATCGGTGAGCAGGGAATTCGCTACTGTGCATGTAACATTGGTGAGCAGGGAATTCGCTACTGTGCATATAACATCGGTGAGCAGGGAATTCGCTACTGTGCATGTAACATCGGTGAGCAGGGAATTCGCTACTGTGCATATAACATTGGTGAGCAGGGAATTCGCTACTGTGCATATAACATCGGTGAGCAGGGAATTCGCTACTGTGCATGTAACATTGGTGAGCAGGGAATTCGCTACTGTGCATGTAACATTGGTGAGCAGGGAATTCGCTACTGTGCATGTAACATTGGTGAGCAGGGAATTCGCTACTGTGCATGTAACATTGGTGAGCAGGGAATTCGCTACTGTGCATGTAACATTGGTGAGCAGGGAATTCGCTACTGTGCATGTAACATTGGTGAGCAGGGAATTCGCTACTGTGCATGTAACATTGGTGAGCAGGGAATTCGCTACTGTGCATGTAACATTGGTGAGCAGGGAATTCGCTACTGTGCATGTAACATTGGTGAGCAGGGAATTCGCTACTGTGCATGTAACATTGGTGAGCAGGGACTGAGTTGAGTATCGACCAGTGGCTTGGTGGTAGTTCATCTCAGGTGGCCTAGGGAATGTATTTGGCTTTCTCCCCTTTCCCTTGCATCCATCCATAGCATGGGTTTTGGCTGGTGGGAAAAGTACAACTGTCAGTGTCAGCCCTGCCCAAAGTCACAGAAAGCAGTTAATTCCCTTGCTTCCATTTCCATCTGCTCCCTTCTGTGCTCCCCAGGAGCTTTGTGAGGACTCACTGGAAGGTGCTTGGTTCTCAGGAGAAGAGACCAGACCCTTCGATTTTCCACTCAGTCTCTCCCTCTCTTCCTCAGGGGACCAGTCAGCTATCAGTGAACTCATGCAGATGAGATTGAGATCTGGCGGCACCGAGGGTCTCCTGGCTGAGAAATTGGAGGTAATCTAGTATGTATATTTTTGTGAAAAGTCTTCGATTTGAAAAAGTCCAGAGAAACAAGTAATTCATAATCCTGTCACTCCATATATGAATTGCTAATATATGCATATTTATATCTATACCTATTTTTTAAGAAAAGCTTTCATTTAATATTTTTAAGTATTCAACTTTTTACCTCATTACATTTATTTTCTAAGCAAGTAATTGATACAGGTTCATAGAAAAAGTAGGAAATTGAAAAGATGGGGAAAAAGTAAAATCACATGGGTTACCACCTAGAGATAACCACTGTTAATAATGTTGTGAATATCTTTCAGACTTTCATATGTGTGGAGAAAAGAGGCACATGTTTTAAAAACAGGATCTCAGGATACACTGTTTAGTGATGTGCTTTTTAAATATGATGTTAACATGAATTCTTTCCACTTCAGTAAATGTATTTCTCTACCGTGTCTTTTGATGGCCATAGTACTCCGCTGTACTGAAGTTTATTTGCCCACTTCACTATTATTCATGGTGTAAGTGGTAAATAGTATTCCAGTGAATATCTATTCCCCAGTTCTTGTACACATCTTTAGTTACTTCCTTCGGATCAGTTCCTAAAAGTAGAATTGAATGTTTTGGAAGCTCTGGATATGTACTGACAAATATCTTTCAGTTAGGCTTCTACTAATTTACACTCCGCAGTGTATGCAGATACGCTTTTCTCCTTACACCCTTACTGAAGCTTACTGTTGCTTTTCTTAGCCTTCTATTACATCCTTTTAATATTTGAGTTTCTGTAAGCTAAAATATATGGTGCCAAGGAGGAATTTACAAATTTGAATGTACTCTATAAGGCAGTATATTAATTAGGTGGAGACACTTAATAGTTTCCACAGTTCAAGGTTTAACTTTGTAAAACTGCTTTCCAGGCACTGATCACTCAGACTCGAGCCAAACAGGCAGCTACCATGAGTGAGGTGGAATGGAGAGGGAGAACGGTGCCCGTGAAGATCGACAAAGTGAGAATCTTTCTGTTGGGACTGGCTGATAATGAGGCAGCCATTGCCCAGGTAAGGTGGAAGTTCTGTTCTCTCTTCTGTATGTGTCTGAAGGTTGTCACTATGTGTTGAAGATGTAGCATTTTGTTGGTGTTCTTTTCTCACAAAACAAAAATTTATTTTAATGCTATGTGAGATTTGGTAACAGTTTCAAGATGCCCTCTTGAATAAAATTATTTTAAATGCTGACTCTATAGAGGAATTATGTTTAGAGGGCAAAGAAGTTGACAGTGATGGTTATTAACATAAAAATGGAAGCAGTGAGTAGCTGCTTAGGGGCCACTGTTCAGCCGGCAGGTGGTGCAGAAGCTCAGCTGTTTTGTCGCTCCTGTCTGACCTCTGTCCTGGCCCTAGTCATAAAGGAGCCAGCTCTTTGTTCCTGGGCTGTTTAAGGGAAGCCTAACTAAACCAGAACATCTTGTTTTATGTGCTGTATGTGTGTAATGTGCATGCAAAGCTGTGCCTCTTGCTGCTGCCGCCTGCTGAGGTCATGTTACCTGTTTGTGGTTGAGAACATCAAATGAGTTCCTCAAGATGAGAGGTCGTGGGGATCTTGGTTTGTACAAAATAGACAGCGTTTAAGGCACTTTTTAGAGGAGCATCTTAAAAAAAGAGCCCAGGCTGCTGAGGATGTCTGCAGCCTCACCGGGGACCAGTCATATTTCATGGGACTTCACAGTAAGCTCTTACACCCTGAATAGTTTGTATATAGGGGTGCTTTTTTAGGGGCTGATGAGTTGTTTTAAGCATCCAAACTTTTCCAGTGACTTGTTCCGAAATAGCTACTTTGGGTTGGGGGCAGCTTTCAGCAACTGAGGAATTTCTTTGTGCTCCGTCTGTGTTGCGTGTTGTCCCTCTCCCTTCCCTTTTATTTGCTTAAGGGACAGCAAACTAAAACAATATCAGGAAGTTACTTTTTTTTTCTTTAAACTGAAAAGCTGAGAAGCTTTTTTGAGAACATTTCATTGGCACTTTTGTATGGCGGAATCTCTTATGGACCGGGGCTCTGCTACCAACCACTTAGATTATGCGATTGGGTTCTTTCCTTTCTGAGCGATGCGCACTGGAAGAAAAGCCTGCCCTCAGTGAGTGGGGCAGGAGTTCTGGCCAGAATAGGGTTGGGAAGCCCATGAGGGCAAATTAAATGGGGACTCCTTAGGAATGGGGCCACAGAGCTAGAGCAGATAAAGGACAAGAAAAATTAATGTTTATTAAGTAATTCGGTGTATTTGCGTTTAGCCTTTTTCACATTCATAAGACATGTTAGGTATTTTTTTACATGTTGTGATACACTGAAATCTGATTTTGTATCCTGTTTTTATTAACGTGTTATAAGGATTTTTCACATTCTTACAAATCATCCACAACATTTTTTAAATGCCTGGTAGTCACCTGAACATAGAGTGATCAGAGGTAGGTGATGATCCCCTTTAATGTCCCAAACACTCTGCTTAATGCTTTAATGTTTTCATCTTTTTAACCCTGTGGGGTGAGTGATACTCCCATGTCACAGATGGGAAAACTGGTCTCAGAGAGACTTTAACTTGCCCACAGCCATATATCTGATAGAAGGGGATGCTTGCATTTAACACCATGTCCTTTTGATGCCAAAGCTCATGTTCTTGAACTTTTCCACATACATAATAGAGTCATTGGGAGGGCTACTAACATAATCGTTTTATTTTACTTTGGTGCATTTCTAAATGTCCCTTAACTGAGTACACTAGCAGAAACCTGGTCTTCTGGTAAAGACTGAATAAGCAGAACCTTAACAAAAACAAATAGTCCTTGGCAGGGAAATCATCTCCAATTCAGTAGGTTAATTGGGGGAGCGGACTTTCCATATGGAAGGAGAAGGTATGGGGGTGTTTATCTGAATTTATCTTCCCCTTGCTTTTTTACACATAATTAGAGAATAAAAATCTGTATGGGGGAGGTGTTCTTGCCTTAGTTGTAAAAAAAAATGTAATCTAGTTTGGGCTGATTAGACCAGGTGAAAACACTTTACAACTGCACATGAAACCATTGCTTTTAAAATTGAAGCTCACTTCAGTCATGCCATGACTAGTTGAGCTTTGTGCACATTTTTAGAAGGATTCCTCTCAAGCTTGAGTTTTATGAGAGTTGAAAGGTTGACTTCTGGATCTCTAGGTCATAGCCACCTCTTCCAAAGCAGTTCAGGGGCGGTCGAGATTTTGATCATCTTGGCAAAAAAAAGCAGTGACGTTATTCCAACTTTGAATACATAAAAAAGAAAAAAATGTGGGCATACCTTGTTTATTGTGCTTCACTTTAATCGCACTTTGCAGACACTGGTTTTTTCACAAATCGAAGGTTTGCAGCAATGCTGCATTGATCAAGTCTGTTGGTGCCATTTTCCAGCAGCATTTGCTGACTTTGTGTCACATTTTGGTAATTCTCACAGTATTTCAAACCTTTTCACTACTATATTTATGGTGGTCTGTGATCAGTGATTATATGACTTGCTGAAAGTTCAGATGATGGTTAGCATTTTTTAGCTCTAAAGTATTTGTTAAAGAGTGTACTTTTTTTTTTTAGACATAATGATTTTCAGTGTAGCTTTTATATGCACTGGGAAACCAAAAAATTCGTTTCACTTTCCCTGTTGAGACACTTGCTTTATTGCAGTGGCCTGTAAGCAAACCTGCAGTTATCCCGGAGGTGTGCCTGTTCCCAGAGCTCGTTATCTCGGCACAGCTGCTGCTAGGTCTGCATTCCTGCCTCATCTTCAGTGTTCATGTTTATGTAGTTAGATATACTCTATTTAATATCCATCTTTAACATACATAGATAGCGGCAGGTGTACTTTTTAAAGTGCTGTTTAATCAGAGCACGTCTCTTACTGGATATTTGCATTGTGTATGGCTTTTAAGCACTATAAGCAGTGATATAGTGAATCTTTGTCTAGATGGATTTTTCCATATTTTGGATTATTGGTGTAGAATAAATTGCCTAAAATGAGAATACTACATAAATTTTAAAATGCATATTCAACTTCTTTTCTGATTAAGTAAAGTTACTTAAATCAAGAATTTTAGATCTTAATTTACTAAAGAATATGTTTATTTTAAAACTTTGGTTTATTAAGTACCTGCCCGAAAAACTGAAGTGGAAAGATAACAAAAGTATCTCAAATGTATTTGATAGTTTGGGTTTTTATCTCATGTGCTGTGTTTTATTATGGTATTTAAGGTCCTTATGAAGAAGAAAACCATCCTTCAGTAAATAGGTCTTCGCAGTAATACAAAAGCTCAATAATGAAGGTGATGAATCTGTGTGATGTAACATTTTCTAAAGATCTCCACCAACATCCATTTAAGCCATTATCCTCTTGTCTTACTCACATTACTTCAGTTATTAGATTTAAACGTAAAAAGCGCTTTTGCACACAAGAGTCCGAACCGTTCCCGTTGGACATGTTTTATGCAGATCCATGGAGGCTTGGTCGGTCCAAGGTTTCACGTCGGGGTCAGTCAGGATCAGTAGCCAAGGTTTCCTGCCCCAGCTGGTGTGGGCCTGCGCTGCTCGGTGCAGCTGCTCCCCAGTCCGATAAAAGGGGGCCACTAGGAGACCTGACGAAGGCTTCTCTATACCAGTGAAGACTGTGATGGGCAGTGCGCTTGGAATACCGGCTGGGCTTCAACTCCTGTTCCACAAGACACCGTGGAGTGTTTGGGGGGCATGTGAGACCAGAGTTGGGAGAGCACACGAGGACAGCTGAAATCTTCCAATTTGGAAAGATACAGGCTGAAGGGGGAAGACTATTTGAGCCCTATTAACGTAGTGAATTATGTTGATTAATTTTCAGTGTTAAACAACCTTGCGTATCAGGGATAACCCCACTTGGGTAAGGTATGTTGCACTTTTTACATATTGCTGGATTTGATTTGTTAATACTTTAAGAATTTTGCATCTGTTTTCGTGAGAAATAGTGGCCTATGATTTTCTTTTCTTGTAATGTTTTTCTTCACAGTTTCTATCAGTTATACATGCCTGATAAATTAAATTTGGAGATGTTTCCCCCTCTGTTGTCTGAAAGAGTTTGTGTAATATCAGTATCTTGTTTCCCTAAGTGTTGTTTATAATTCACCAGCGAAACCATTGGGCCTGGAGTTTTCTTCATGGAAATGTTTTTTTTTATTTCTTTTTGCTTGTTTAAAACAAATATAATTCCTTTATGAGTTAAAGGACTATTCAGATTCCCTAGTTTGGATGAGTTTTGCTTTTAAAAGGAATTTATTAATTTCATATAAATCATTGAATTTATTGACATGAAGTCTATAATATTCCCTAACCATTTTAATGTTTGTAGGAGTTGTACTATTACCTCCCATTTAGTGCCTGGTTAATTTGCTAGTTGTGGTGAATACAATTATCTCTGGTTTTTAAGGATCTTATAAATCATTAGGGTCATTTCTGAGTATCAGAGACTTTTAAGTAATGTGCTAGATCAAACAAAACATGAATGAATCTCCAGAAATCCCAGTAAGGTTTTAACATTAAAAACAGTGAAGTCCTAATGTCCTATATCACCAATGTCCTATGTATACCAAATCAAACCAGTGAGTAAAATACTTTTTAAGTACAGTGCCAGGGTTAGTTAAATGCTTAGATGTCAGGTCTAGCACTAGCTGATTAAATATCTACTGAATTGAACAAATCATGATTTATTAAATATGGGAAACACCCTTTGGCCATGTGAAGTTAATCCCAAGAAGAACCCTTGGTGCCACTGTCAGATTATTTGGCTGGGTATGACTTGGGCCTTACCCACCTTGCCAGTTTTCATTATTGTGTCACGTTGTTCTCTGCCCTGGAAACCAATAGCTGTTCCTTAGATACAGGGCTCTTAGTTTCAGCATTTCCTAACTTTGCTGGTATTGGTACTGGCCACCCTTTAGGAACTGGCATGTGAGAGTTTGGTAGCCCCAGCTGATAGCTTGCTGGAAGAGTTTTTATGATGTTTAAATACTGAAACAGTTTACCGAAAGGCACAGAAGGAAAAAATAATTCAGGGAGATAAAATATTAGCCTGAGCGTGTGTGGGGGGCACGGGGAGGGCTGTGCAACACAGAGAAGACTAGTAGTGGTTTTACAGCATCTTACTACGCACATGGACAGTGACTGTGAAGGGGTATGTGGGGGGGGACTTGGTGAAGGGGGGAGCCTAGTAAACATAATGTTCTTCATGTAATTGTAGATTAATGATACCAAAGTAAAATAATAAAATAAATCAATTTTAGCCTGAAAAGACTGGAGTGGAGAATTAATCCACAGCCAGAATCCAGTTGTAAAATCCATAGTCTCTTTAGCCAAGCTTTACAGCTTCACCTCCTTAATACTGTCTTACTTTATAATTTATCTCTGCTTTGCTTTATTAATACTTGATCACACCCAAATTGTTACTGGTGGTTGCACTTTGAGGGTGTTGTTAGGCAGCTCTTCTGGTGGGGGGCATGTTTAAAATATCTCCAGGTTTGATGATTCTTATCCTTAAGTTATGGTTACTATTTTAATATTTGACTGGAAGAAAGACCATTTATCCTTCTCTCTTTAAAAAATCTGTTTGTAAGTGAGGTTTGCATCCTCCTTTATTGGATTTCTATATGTTTTTTCCTAGACCTCAGTGGACAGGGTGGGTCTTGGTTCCCATCCCAAGACTGGGTTCTTTTTGGGTGTGGTGGAGAATGTAGTCAGACTTGCTTTGTCTGTCTCTTAGTCACACCACCACCTTCCAGCAATTTTTGTAGGTGTGAAAACAATTTGGGAACTCTGTTTTTCATAGCACAGGGTCTCTATCTCATGACACAGGGCAGCTCGTTTTCCTCTGTACAGTCAGCCCTGAGACATGGCTTGAGGCTTGGAAAAGCACATGCTGGGTGTTTGAGGTTTTATAAAAAGTGTTATTTATTTATTTATTCATTAATTCATTCATTAGGACTAATGAGTACTGTATTACTTCTTGGCTTAAGATTGCTGTGTTTCATAGGAACTAGGCACTCCTGGGGAGAGTCCAGGCAGACCCCAGATTCGTGTACAGGGAGCAAGCCACTGTGTTGAGGAGCGTGCTCTTACTGGTTCAGTGGCAGACTTGGGAGGTCTGTGTAGAGATGCTAAGGAATCGTGCCCCCGCACATAGACGCGCTTCTTGTTCCATTGTCCTTTCAGGATTATCTTATCTTCCGTGACAGGCACTTACAGAATAATAGGTTTATAGAGAATCTGAAATATGTCTCAGGCCTCCTGTGTGGAGGCATTTTGCCTGGCCCAGGGGGAGGCATGGCAAGTGCTGTTCCAAAGTGGCCTCTGAGCCACTGTGCAGTGTGGGCGCCGTAAGAAAACACAACTGGCTGAAGTGCTCTCTTCCAAAGATGAACCTTTTTCCTTCACTGTGATTGAAGACTTATGTCAAATTCCCAGTGGAACTTAGAATTTTGTGGAAGCAGTGGGAAAGTGTGCTATGTTCAGCACCTTGATGCGGAGGTTTCCTTATTCAAAGGGAACAAAGTTAACACATGGCAGTAAGGAGGTTTAGCATTTTAGCATCATTTTTATTTTTTATTTGAGCCATACCCTCCCTCCAGAAAAGGAAACATCCTGTATAGCTGGTAAAATGAAGTCTGCTCTTCTCTTTGTTACATACCCTTTGCCCTAAACGCTGAACCCCACCCATCTCCCAAACGGTGTTGGTGGCATATTTACTGGACTGCATGGTGTCAAAACTGACGCAGGAGCTCATTCTGCCTTCTGATGTCGTGACTCTGTGTGCGTGTGTGTGTGTGTGTGTGTGTGCGCGCGCGCACACGCACTTGGTGCCAAGTCTCTTCACACCTTTGTCCAGCTAACTGTTATACAGCCACGCCATTCCACAGGATTTGTTCTTTAAAAAGTTTGGCCATTGAGTTTGATTGAATGACTGTAAATAATCTTACTAACTTGAGACGCTTAACAGTGTTTTGTGTGAAGTGTGCTTCTCTAGAGCTGCACTGTCCAGGACAGTAGCCAGTGAAACACATGGCTACTTAAATTTAAATTAATTAAACCTTGAAGTACTCAGTAGCCATACATAGCTACTGACTACTGCATTGGCCAGGGGAGGTATAGAGCGTGTTCGTCCGGCGGAAAGTTCTGCTGGACAGCACTGCTCTGGGCTTTGGTGAGTTCACGGTAGCCATGTTTGCCCTTACAGATTTACAGAATGACTGCCCTCATGTGTTCCAAGTTTGTGAACAACAGGAAAGTCAAGCAACTTTTAAGTAGAAAAGTATGTTTGATTTATACTGGGTAATTTACAAGGAAAATTTTTTTCTCAGTGGAAATGAGAGAAAACATAAGAGTTCTTAAGAGAAGAAAGGGTTTGCTTTGGGGCTTTCTTAGAGGTCAGTTGAATGTGAGATCAGATTGGATGTTAGTTGCCGTGTAAAGTAAAATATAATAATGGAATGTTGATGTTTTCATGTCACAGTGGGTCTGCCAGTAACACAAGTTCATCTCCTTTCTGTCTTTCGTCCATTCCCACCTGCTCAGTCAGATTCTTTAGAATGATAATGTGGTGTGACAGGTATTCAGTTAATGAATCACTTTTTCCCTTATCCCAGCGGCTAGCAGAGGGGTGACGCCCTGTAGTTGTGCAGAGACTGTTGACTGCTTTCAGCCTTGCCCGTCCTAAAAATGTCCTCAACAGGGTCCTATGGAATATCCGAGAACAGATTTTCTGTGGTGAAAAGAACTCTTATGATATCTAGGAGGAATGTATTTTTGATTGGGTATTTATTAATAATGTTTCTCACTTGCTTGGGTGATAAAGAAATCTAGTATCTCCAAGTCTGAATTACCCAATTCTGCTGGCATACAGTAAAGTTCAAGACAGTTTGTTCCAGAGGGAAAAAGGAAAAGAAACTTGTGGTATGCTGTGCTTCATTCAGTGTCAGGGAGCGGTGCTCCAAATCCGACCTGTAGAGCCCTTTTAGGGATGCCAGATGCAGGTCCTGAGCAGAGAGAAGTGTTGGAGTCAAGTTGTGGAAAATTCTCAGACAGGAAAAAATTTAAAGCGTATGTTGCCTGGAGGATAGTTTTAGATCAGTTATACAGATACTTTTTCAGTATGTTTAATTTTTATGTACACTTGACCCTTGAACAGGGTGGGGGTGGGTAGGGGCACTGACTTCCCACATAGTCAAAAAATCTGTTTAACTTTTGACTCCCCCAGAACTTAAATACTAATAGCCTACTGTTGACTGGAGGCCTTACAGGTAACATAAATAGCCAATTAACACATATCTTGTATATTAGACGTGTTATATACTATATTCTTAAAGTAAACCAGAGAAAAGAAAATGAGTTTTCAAATTGTCACAAATCTTGAAAAAATTTTTCCCTTGTATTTTTTGTTTTTTGAAAAAGGTATCATGTGTAAGTGGACCCATGTAGTTCAAATCCATGTCGTTTAAGGGTCAACTGTGTGTATATATATAAATATATGTATATAAATCCCACTTCCATATGAATAAGGAATAAGACTATAAGAAAAAACGTATATGGAGGAGAATCATTAACAACTGAAATGGTCTCTGATGTGGGGGTATTTGGGTTGGATGCCTGTGTTCGTGTGTAATGGGGGAATCAAAGCACGGGCCCTCCTGCGGCTTACTCAACAGGAAACCTTTTAACTGCATTCTGCCTTTGTTCAGGCTGAAAGCGAAGAAACCAAGGAGCGTCTGTTTGAATCCATGCTCAGCGAGTGTCGGGACGCCGTCCAGGCTGTTCGGGAAGAGCTGAAGCCAGATCAGGTGGGCCTGCCGCTGAGCACCGGCTCCTGCTGTGGGGACGGGGTGCCCCTCGGTGTGTGTGTCTCGTTCTCAGGTGGGGTCCCAGGGGTGTGCGTGCTCTGACTCTTAGCCACTGGTTTTTTTAGATGTGGTGATCGGCCAACAAATAACAAAAGCCTCTGGACTCTATCAGGTTGAGAAATTTTCTCTCTGTCCTGTTCCTCCTAATGTTTCATATATTACTTTTAAGCCTTTGGTCTCAAATTCATATCTGTAAGTAGACTTTTCTGGAGCCCCTTTTTCCTAATAATGTCACTGTGACTTGGGCATCTAGGCTGAAAACCTCAGAGCCGTTTTGGTTTCTTTCTTCCCTGTCACCAAAAGCCCTGCTTACTCTCCCTCCGTAATTTCCCTCCGCGTGGCCGTCCGCCTGTGTCCGACTAGACGTTTGTCTGTGCCTGGACTGCTGCAAAGGTCTCTCGACGGTTTTTCTTACGTTGGTCTTGGTTCAGTTCTCCAGGCTGTTCTTGCCACAAGCACCAGTCGAATCTTCCTGGATCCCATCTCACTGTCTAATGAAAAGCCCAGTGATTTCCCTAGGTCTAGAGCCCTGGTCTCCCCAACTTTTATAACACACCCTGTAAGTAGAATTGAGCACCTGCCTTTGCTGTTTATTTGTAAGTTATATACCTTACTTTTTAACTGATTTGTACTACATAAAATGCATTAAAATAAAATTTTTAGAAATGAGATAAATATAAATAGAAGTTCCAATTTTCTCCTTACACTCACACTTTTTGGGTTGTGTGTGCCCCCCTTTAGAGGCCACTGGTCTAGCAGGTACACTTCGGACTCCCTGAGCCTCTGGGCGTGTGGCCCTGCCCCGCTCGCTTCCGGCATTGCGGTGCTGCTTCTCTGAGTCCGCCTGGGCTGCTGCATCACCGCCTCCCGAACGGGCTGTCGGCCTCAGCGTCCCGCCCGCTCTCCTCCTCTCCCTGCTCACACCGGGCTTAGCCTGCCTTTCCCTTTTCACCTTTCCAAACCCCACCTGTTTTTCAAGGTCCAGCTCAGAGCTCACCTTTAGAAACCTGCCTACACCGTCCTAGCCCACAAAAATCTCTCCCATTTCTGATACTTGCAGCTGTAATTTTTGTTTGATAATTAATCAAGAATTGCCTTTTGACATTTTGTGTATTATTTGATACTTACTTTTTTGTTGTATTTTCAAGACTGTGTCTTAAAAGCAACTTTTTTTTTAGTATCTGCCACAGTACCTCGAGTATAAAGTGTTCTATAAATATTTGTTAAGCTGTAGTCACTGTTTTCTTTTCCCATCAGACTGCCTTTGTATAGTACACTACCCTTTACCACTTATTCAGGTACATGCGGGGCCCAGACCACCTCACCCACCTGGAATGCACAGCTGCTGCAGGAATGTCTCACGATTGAAGGGAATATGCTGATACCAAGGTGTATTAGCTCCTGGTTGCTGCTTTAGCATTACCTCAAAGTTAGGGGCTTGAAACAACATAAACTAAACATACAGTTCTGGGGTTGGAAGTCTGAAATGGGTTCGTGGGGTTGCGTTCCTTTGGGAAGCCCCAAGAGGAGACTCCACTGCCAGGATTCCAGAGGATGCATTTTCCAGCTTCTAGAGGCGCCTGCATTTCTTGCCCCTTGGCCCCTTCCTCCATCTTCCCAGCCAGCAGCAGAGCCCCTTCCCCTCTCTCTGACTCTGCTTCAGTCCCTGCGTCTTCCTTGTATCACTGACCTGACAGCCCAGGGGGTTGAACATGGGTCTAAGACACAGACCCCAAAGTGGAGCCATGGACTGTAGAATGTCTGGTGTTGATGCATTGGGCCTGGACACTGGAGCAGTGGACAGGAAGCCTTACTGGCCATGATTCTGAATTCCCTTACTCATGTCTAGTTTTCCCATGCCGGTGGCAGCTGAGTGGCCACTTTGTTCTAGATCTTTGATATTTGAGGACCCCCAACCTACTAGAGTCTGTGCCTTATGTTTAGGGCACTTTGGGGACCACACCATTCAATGAGGTGGTCAGAGCCAGGGACAGAATCTGCTGTTTTATCCTTTACCTCTTTCACTTTCTGCAGAAACAGAGAGATTGCACCCTTGAAGGGGAGTCAGGGAAGGTATCAAATCTTCAATACCTACATAGGTAAGGGTTGTAACGTTTTTACTTTTTTAACATTGTGAAATATATGATTGAAACAACAGAGTATATGTAATGTTTATGTTCATTTCATACATAATTTAATATATAACAGGAGGTATACATGTTATCATATGAGTATATATACTGCATTTATATACTATGCTACTATATGTGTAATTTAAGATTGTGGACAGCTTAAGAACTGGAATACAGCCAGTAGCCTTGAAGCTGCCAGAGCCCCGCCCAGACTGATTCCCACTCTCTCCTAGAGCTGACCACGCCCCTTCCCGTGCCAAGCTCCTGTTTATTCTCCTCTATGTTCTGAATGTTCTACATTGTCCCTTTCACATTAAGTTCATCTTAACTCAAATTTAATTCCATTGGAGTTGTGTTTGAGTGAGGTAAGGATCCGCTTCACCTTCTTCCGTGAGGATGGTGGTGGTTCCTGCAGTTTCCTGACTGCTCCATCCTTTCCCCGCAGATCGGCAGTGGCAGCTGTGTCAGGCATTCAGCCCGTTTTCTCCTTGCTGCCCCTTCTCTGGACTCTTCTGCCCCCCTGGTTTATTTGTCTGTACTTAGACCACTACAGTGATTCGTTGTAACTTGATATAAGTCCTGGTGTCTGCTAGAGCAAGTTACCCCACCAGGTTTTTCCTCAGGCGTGGCTTGTGGTCTAAGACACAGACCCCAAAGTGGAGCCATGGACTGTAGAATGTCTGGTGTTGATGCATTGGGCCTGGACACTGGAGCAGTGGACAGGAAGCCTTACTGGCCATGATTCTGAATTCCCTTACTCATGTCTAGTTTTCCCATGCCGGTGGCAGCTGAGTGGCCACTTTGTTCTAGATCTTTGATATTTGAGGACCCCCAACCTACTAGAGTCTGTGCCTTATGTTTAGGGCACTTTGGGGACCACACCATTCAATGAGGTGGTCAGAGCCAGGGACAGAATCTGCTGTTTTATCCTTTACCTCTTTCACTTTCTGCAGAAACAGAGAGATTGCACCCTTGAAGGGGAGTCAGGGAAGGTATCAAATCTTCAATACCTACATAGGTAAGGGTTGTAACGTTTTTACTTTTTTAACATTGTGAAATATATGATTGAAACAACAGAGTATATGTAATGTTTATGTTCATTTCATACATAATTTAATATATAACAGGAGGTATACATGTTATCATATGAGTATATATACTGCATTTATATACTATGCTACTATATGTGTAATTTAAGATTGTGGACAGCTTAAGAACTGGAATACAGCCAGTAGCCTTGAAGCTGCCAGAGCCCCGCCCAGACTGATTCCCACTCTCTCCTAGAGCTGACCACGCCCCTTCCCGTGCCAAGCTCCTGTTTATTCTCCTCTATGTTCTGAATGTTCTACATTGTCCCTTTCACATTAAGTTCATCTTAACTCAAATTTAATTCCATTGGAGTTGTGTTTGAGTGAGGTAAGGATCCGCTTCACCTTCTTCCGTGAGGATGGTGGTGGTTCCTGCAGTTTCCTGACTGCTCCATCCTTTCCCCGCAGATCGGCAGTGGCAGCTGTGTCAGGCATTCAGCCCGTTTTCTCCTTGCTGCCCCTTCTCTGGACTCTTCTGCCCCCCTGGTTTATTTGTCTGTACTTAGACCACTACAGTGATTCGTTGTAACTTGATATAAGTCCTGGTGTCTGCTAGAGCAAGTTACCCCACCAGGTTTTTCCTCAGGCGTGGCTTGACTGTTTCCGTCCCTTTGCTCTTTCGTATACATTTTAAATCACCTTGTCAAGTTTAATTTTTTTTTTAAAGATGGATCATTTTGTTTCACAGAAGAAAGGAAGGAAGAGTGACATTTTTGGAACTTCATAGGGAAAATTAAATTACTTGGGAAAACTGCACTTCTTCAGATTCTCTTCCCCATGTGACCTTGAAATTTTCATTTCTAAGTAACTTTTCAGTAAACCTGACAATATTTTCAACCATTCCCCTGCCCCTTCACATTTTTATAAAAACAAACCACAAAAACACCTTTCCTTAGCTTAAAATCTCCACTCTTAGGGAATTGGCTACTACCTGAATGTCAGATTCACTGCCAGATGACTCAGATGCACGAATACCCAGCAAGAGTGGCCCTTGGGGGGCCTGTGTTTCCACAACCCCATCAGAAAGATGAGGCGCCAGGAGCCGAAGGACGGTGTCTATAGCTAAGCACCGCAAAGAGGCAGAGTCAGGAGTTGCTCCAACCCTCTGACCAAGAAAAGGCCCTGAGAACTTCAGCAAGACTGAGGAGCCTTTCCGATTGGGCAGCCGCCCTCCCCTCGGGTCTGCTCTCCCACCTTCGGGTCTGGCTCGTACCAGGATCACGGATTTCTATTGGGACCCAGATGCCAGCTCGGGGGGAAATCCGGGTCAGGAATCAGGTTGCTTTTGTATTAAATAAAACTTTGTAAGATGTTTCTAGATTCCTATATCACCCTATGAATAACAGTTACTTTGTGTTGAGAGTGATTTTTCTGTAGGCCTTTAAGAAAATCCATCTCACGACCTTCTCTCTCATTTCTCAGAAGCAGACACCTACTTTTTTCAAATTTTTTTGGCATTTACCTCCAACTCTTTAAATGCTGTGTATGTTTCTCCGTCTTGATCTTTGGGTCTCGGCATTTCTCCCCGCTTTGCCCTACAGCCTCCCCCATCCACCCGGCCCCCGTGCTTCGGCTCAGCTCTTCCCCGCCCCCGTCTATTACAGGTGTTCTTCTTTCTGATAGTATTTTAATTTTTAAGGGCTTTTTGTGTCCTTTGAATATTATTTTTAAATATAGTGTCTCATACTCATTTCAAAGCCACAAAGGCTTCCCTTATCTGAGGATTTGTCAGTAATAGTTTTCCTAATTAGTTAATAATGTCGTTTTCTTCCTGCAAGGTCTGGTTCTTTCAAGTTGCTTCTCTTCCCCCTCAGTTTTGGCCCCTTCTGTCTCATTAGATGTTTGCCTTAAATGTTGGTGATCCTTATTCATCCACTCCCATTAGAAACTGTGGCTTATCTGGTGGCAGTGCTGCATACAAGTGGGGCCCGCCAGCTGTGGTCTTCACTGTAGGTGTTCCTGCTCAGCCCTTCCACTGAGGACCCCCCTCCAGAAACTTGAAGGGTTTCTTTTCTGGGCTGATCAGAATACACCAGGCTGCTCTTGTCCTGGAAGCTGAGTAGAAGGTTAGGAGGTCAGCACACAGAATGGGACAGTCTTGTGATCCCTGTGTTTGTTACGGAGTCCCTGACCTCAGTTGGGCCTGTATCCCCATGTCCAGGCTGTACCTTCTCCCAGGGATGCCTCCAGCCTTCTGCCAGAGTAGGACAGGGGTCTAGAAGCCTAAATACTTCTTAAGTGGACTTTTAAATAGTTACCATGTTTTTATCCCCAAATATCAAAGAGACTTTCCAGGTGGTACAGTTGAGATAATTAGGCATCATACATGGTCTCTGGTATATGTGTGTATTTAATACACATAACCATCCAGAGAGACTGTCTCTCAGTATTTTCTGAGAAGAGAAGGCCGTCAGATGGGTAGGAGCAGCTGTTGTGCAAGCAGGCTGTCCAGGTAGTTACTAGGTCTGTACCTATACCTAGCAGGCACTTGACTAGTCCTTGTTCCAGGGACTCAGCATCCATGGATCATCTTAAGGACTAGCAGCATCCTCTGAAATGAATAGCTCTGTGTCTCTTAAGAAAAGAAACAGACCGTATAATTCAAGCTGAAAGCAAATTTTGTCATAAGGTCTCATATTGGTCCCCTGCAGATTTCCCACCGAACAACAGCCAGAGTTGAGGCCCCTTGAGCTTGAGGCCCAGGCCAAATGACATGCCGTCACTCCCACGCTTCCCCTAGGTCAGCCCCAACTTGTGGCCCAGTGCTCTTTCCAGAACGTCAGCTTCCTTGAGCATAAGCTGAGCTGACGTGTGGTACATTCCAGCTACCTGACTCACATCAAGCTGTCAACGGCGATCAAGCGTAATGAGAACATGGCAAAAGGGCTGCAGAAGGCACTGCTGCAGCAGCAGCCGGAAGATGACAGCAAGCGCTCCCCCCGGCCCCAGGACTTGATCCGGCTCTATGACATCATTCTACAGGTGACCCTTGAGGACTGGGAAAGCAGGGGCCCATCCTTCACATGTGTTGGCCGCAGAATGTCTTAGCTTTGCCTGGTGAAAGGGTCATGACAGCCGGGAGCTGTTGGTGTCTTGGTAAAAGACAAGAGTCCTTGTTCCTGTACCATGCCGCCATCTGTGAGCTCCGATACTCATATGTGTCGATGTGTGTGAGACTAGTAAACCCACTGGTATTCACTGAGCACATCACCTGTGTAAGATGCTCTCCCACGTGCTGTGGAGTATCCTGAGACCTGAGCCACACTGTCTTGGTCCAGTGGGAGTTTGTCAGCAAGTGAGATTGTGAGACACATGCACCCTGCATAGATGTCAGGGTGTGTCTGTATGGATGTCAGATGAATGGGCCTCTCTGAAATGAAAGTTCAGAGCTAGAGACCCCCCTCTAGTTGGGATGGTCCAAGAAGTCTCTGAAGGAGGTGAGGTGTGAGCTGAGTCGTTAAAGGCAAGTAGGCTTTCAGTATCAGACAGGGATGGAGGGAACACCAGGTGTGGCTGCTGCCAGGTCATTCCTCAAAGAATGCTTGTTATTTCAAGCCAGGCTGTTTGTTTTCACCCTTGTCTGTTCTTACAAGGTCTTCTGTAAAAAATTCCGCCTGAGACCTCCTCTCCATTAGTTTTCTTACTGTATCTGTTGTGCAGAATCTGGTGGAATTGCTCCAGCTTCCTGGCTTAGAGGAGGACAGAGCCTTCCAGAAAGAGATAGGCCTCAAGACCCTGGTGTACAAGGCTTACAGGTAAGGTCCATAGGGTGGACAGAGTTTTCCTTTGCTGCCCAGTGGTTCTCTAAGCCTTGGGAGCATGTCCCGTGGCCTGGAAGATTGAGTTGTTGGCTGTGGGGGCACCTTGCCCACAACCAGAGAAGAGTCAGCCTAGCGTGTTCAGGGGAAATCTCTACTACAGGTTGTGGCTGGGAGTTCCCAGTGTACTGCGTTCACTCTTCAGACATGCTGGGGGAGCAGGGGAGCTGGAGCGCACACATTAAATGTCTTCTCCCTCCTTGCTCAGTGGAAAAGCAGCAAGTGTTGGAAAAGGTGTTAGCAGAGCCAAAGTGGAGCCTGAACTGCATTGAGAGAGAGCTAATCCTCTTAGTTTTTAAATGAATCATATCACTTGTAACTTGGAAGTGGGCTGCGTAGCAAGATGGGGACATAGAACGGCAAAGCAGAGCCGTGTGTAAGGCAGGTGTAATCGCCCTTCCTGTGCTGCCTCGTGCCCCGGTGCGCTGACTCTCAGGGGCTCCACCTGCGCTCACGTTGCCCCTCCTCCTGGCTCCTGCAGACCCTCCATCCTGTAGTTTCTATTAGAAAGAGGTTTCTTAGATTTGGTTTTTGAAAAAGAGATGAGCAGAGGTGAACAACTGTGACTTGATATGTGGGTGGTGATAGGTGGGCTTTATATTTGAACCAGTTGACATTTCTCCTTCCTGCCTGTCCTTGGCTTCCACGAGCACCTTTTGGGAACTGCCTCTTTGCTGAGTCAGCCAATAAGTAAAAACACTGGGTCAGCGCTGGACCTATGCTGTTATCTCCAAATGCGGGAGGAGTCTGCAGCTTAGCCTGGCAAACCTGGTTCAGTGTCCAGGTCCCCCATGCAGTGCTCCCAAGGTTAAGTGACCTGTTTCCAAATTTAAAATTTAGCCTGAAGTACAAGGAAAGCCTCGGTCCCAGGTGACTGTCGCTGTAGGACACTGTGGCTCTTCTTCCTCCCCATCAGGTGCTTTTTCATTGCTCAGTCCTACGTGCTCGTGAAGAAGTGGAGCGAAGCCCTTGTTCTATATGACAGAGTCCTGAAATACGCAAATGAAGTGAATTCTGATGCCGGAGCCTTCAAAAACAGCCTAAAGGTGAGTCGCTTACCTTGTTTCCAAAGCCAGAGAGGTTGCGCAGGAAGGCTCTGTGTAACTCCGAGGGGCTGCAGCTCCTCAGACTGGCCCTGCCCGGGCAGCTGGGGATGTGGTGCATCCCTGAGTGCTTGCGAGCTGCAGGCTGTGTACAGGCCTGAAGAGGGCTGAGGTTCTACGAGGGAAAGCCACTCCTCCGGTTAACATGAACCTAGAGGAAGCCCTTAGATTCAGTGACATTTTGGAATCACCTAGGAAGATTTTTAAAAGATGGATGTCTGGGTCCCACCCCCAGAGATTCTGCTTCTAATTGGTATGGGGTCTGGGGCAGGCACTGGGGTGTTTTTAAGCCCCTCAGTGGTTCTGGTAATGCTCGGGTGCAGAACCACTGATGAAGCCTTGCCACACGGAGTGTACCTGGACCAGCAGCAGCATTTGGGAGACTGCTAGATGTGCAGACTCTCAGGCCCCACCCCAGGCAGTTCAGGTATGCCTCAGGGCTTACCTGCCCATCTGGTTGGGCTTACTGTATGGACTTTAAGCCTGTCTGCTGCTGCGGTGCCGAGGGCATGAGGCACCGGGTGGCCCGAGGAATCCGTGCACATTTTACAAGCAGAGACTATTGAGGAAAGCGTGCAAAGGTTGCTGTGATTAACAGTCACAAGCCAGCAAGTGCGAGCTGCTGCTCTGAGAGCTCTTGCCGTTTGTGGGACCAGCGCTAGGTGGGACTGAAGTGGACATCTGGTTTCTGCTTTCAGTGAGCTTGTGGTTTCATCACAGCCACAAGGCTTATGTGGAGCCCATCTAAAACACAAAAGAAGAAAGAGGTCCTTGAGCAAAGGCAGAGCAATAGGAAGTAGAGGGTCGGGTGACCAGTGTGGCATCTTTACAGCGGGGCAGATGGTCTGTCGGGAGAGAAGAAAGGCATTTTACGCGTGCCCACCTACCCTAGTGCACCAGACGGTTGTCGGGGGGGAAGTATCAAGGAATTAGAGGTATGAGGACTTCAGCAGTATCCAGACCTTATCAGATCATCCTGAATTTTGTCAAGTGAGAGACAGGCCAGAGAATGGCATTGCCCTCTTAGAAGCTGTGGAACGTGGCAGGTAAGGGCACAGGCCCCAGAGCCAGAGAGCCTGGTTCTGAGTCCCGCTAGTTTTGCAGCTACTCACTGGGCATGTTGTTTGGCCTCTTGGTTCTTCAAGGTCTTCTCATCTGTTAAATGGGAGGACAGACGACCTCAGGATTATCATGAAGATGGAAATAACAGTTATAGAAACTACTTGGCACATGCCTGGGTCATAATGTATTTAGCACATGATGAATATATTTACTAATATTATCATTACTGTCTCCAGGCATATTGCTTAAGCCATGGCATAGCTTTTCCCATTTGAAACAGGCTAGTATTTTGTTTTCTTAATAGGGAGAATTGGTTTTAAAAAAAAAGATCCTATGTGTTTTGCTGCCCTTGTCTAGCTTGGATTAATACTTAGTCTACAGGCACACACCTGATCATCTACACTTGCCCTCTTACAGCACTAAACTATGCTTTCTATCTTTATCTTGCATCTATCTACCTACCACTTCAGCATTTTATTAAAAAAAAAATAAGGGAGAAATGTGGGATTCACATATAAATCAAGTATAAAAATCAAATGAATAATCATATCTGACTTGATTGTTTATAGTTCATGATGTGTGATCAAAACTGAAAGTTTCTGTGATATGACTGCCCCTGCACTGCTCACCATGGAAGAACTTGTTCGTTATGCTTCAGAAGGTTGGAGACTCTTGAGAGCTAGGCTTGGGGTGGATTAATGACTGTGCATTGAGTCCCCTATACAGAATTTTGTTGTTGTTAACAACCATTTGATCAATAAATACGAGAGATGCCCTCTCAAAAAAAAAAAAAATTAAGGCTTAAAAAAAAAAAAGATCCTATGAAAATACCAGTGGAATCACTGAACTCAGGTGAGTTTGGTGTGCGTCTGTGACCTGCCCCAGCTCTTGACACAGCTTTCTGAATCACTACAGGACCTGCCTGATGTGCGAGAGCTCATCACACAAGTGAGGTCGGAAAAATGCTCCCTGCAGGCGGCAGCAATTCTGGGTGAGCCCCTGCCTGCTCCTTCTGTTTCCAGGTCCCCCTCCCCTGCTCTTCCTCTTCCCTCCCTCCCCCTGCAATGTTTTAAAATTGCAAGGGGTCGTTTGGGTTCATCTGCAAGATGTTTATTTTTCCCTGCCATTACTTCTGCCATATGCAGGCATCTCTCTGTGTAGAAGAGCTGAGAGAAATGCTGCTCTCTTGCCCTTCTCCCTAAAGTATCTTCCATGCAGCAGCTTGCGTCACCCGGCTGGCCGCACTGGCTCTGGTGTACGTCATCTCTTTGTCTGCACTACTTCTCAGCAGAATTTGGGCCCAGGAGGGAGAGAACTAACGTCCCCGCACGTTAGCCACCCTTGCTCCTGGGAGTTAGAGCCCGTATGTGTAACAGGTGTCATTTGTGACAATAGTGTGTCAAGTCCCTGTTCTTACTTATTCCCTGTGAAACTTTCAGATGAAAGTGACTCCCACCAAACAGAGACTTCCTCCCAAGTCAAGGACAATAAGGTAAGTCTGGGCTGTAGCTTGTGGGGAAGAAAGAGTAGGACCCATAACTCACTAGGAATGTGTGCACATGAGTAGAACAGAGGACCCTTAACTTATAAGGAAACACCCTACTTCCCTGCCTTTTATTCAGACACCTGAAGGTTGCCCGTATGAGGTTTGTCAGGAATCATCTCAATGCTCCCAGGTGAAATCAGAAGCCTGTTGCTGGGCAGAGCAGCACCCCAGGCTAGGAGCTCTGGCACGGACATCTGTGAGGCCCAGTCCAAGCCCGCCCCTCTCTGTCCCTCTCTAGGTTTCAGTATAAAATGGGGACATGACAGCACCTCTTCATAGGAGATTTATGGGGATCAAGAGAGACAGCACATGTAGGCTCAGCGCTTAGTGTTCCACTGATGGTCTGTGATTAATACCTGGGTTCCTCCCTTTTGATTTAACTTCCAGCCTCTGGTTGAACGGTTTGAAACATTCTGCCTGGACCCGTCCCTCGTCACCAAGCAAGCCAGCCTGGTCCACTTCCCACCAGGATTCCAGCCCATCCCATGCAAGCCTTTGTTCTTTGACCTGGCCCTCAACCACGTGGCTTTCCCACCCCTTGAGGACAAGTTGGAGCAGAAGGCCAAGAGTGGCCTCACTGGATACATCAAGGGCATCTTTGGATTCAGGAGCTAACCAGGCTCTTCCTTGGGGGCAGGGGGAGATCTCACTCTTAATCTGTATCATGAGAAAACCCAGGAAGTTCCATGATACTAAATCCAGGTCTGCGTTGGCCCGGCGCGGGAGTGTAACATCCTCAGGCCTGTGTCCCTACGTCTTGTGTGTCTGTGCACTTACCTTCTCAACCAGTGTGCTAGAAGGGCACCCTGTCATCTTTGGGTAGATATGTTTGGGATCCCTCTGTCTGCACCCCCTGGGGGAGGGGCCGCTGCCTTCTGGTCTGTGTGAGCCGTGATTGGTTACCTTTGGTCAGTAATGTGTTCAGGAGGCTCCACCCCAGGCACAGATGGGAGCTCAGAACTTTGTATCCTGTTTCTAGAGTACATGGTTTTTAAATGAACTCATCCTTGCTTTGAGCATCCAGAATTCCTTGAGGAGTTTGTCCGTGACTGGGAAACATTGGCAGCGCCACCCCAGAATTGCAGTCAGCCTTACTCCCCTTCACCTCCAAGTGAAAGTCACGTTTCAGAACAAGCAAAGATCTCTATTTTTAGAAGAAATATGTTGACTCAAAAATGATGAAAACAAATCTTATATTAAAAGGCAAAGATGCTGGAGACTCTGCCCATTTTTTACATGCCTCACTCGTGTCCGGTCCCAGATCCCTCTGCGGGGATCTTGTTGTGCGAGCCTGTCAGGTGTATCCTTCCTGGCAACTCGGGTACGTCTGATGCCAGATGAGGGAGTGTTTGAGGCACGGTTTCTAAAGAGTTCCCAGTTTGTAATTTTTAACTGCCATTGTATTTTAACCCATTTCCTTCCTTAACCCTTTTATTTTTTCCCTTAGTCACCCTTTTTTATTTCTATTATAGTATCAACAATAGAAGTCACAAAAGCAATGTAAGAAAAGGAATTAAAGTGATTTAAACATGAGATGTACCTGAACCCTCTGAATCCCTTTGGAAATGGAAGCTCACTTGTCCCCTAGGAAAGAGAATCCGCCATGGGAAATGTGGGCTTCAGTGTGGTTCAGACACACAGCCAGTTGAAGAACTACCGGGTGAATGGATAAAGACCTGAGAACATTATCTCAAGAGGGAACCCTGCTGTGGGCACAGTGGTGCCTCTTGGTTTCCCAGTGAATTGGAGAAAGGAATTGGACAGAAGGTGGAAGAGAATGGTGGGGAGGCAAATCAGACTCCTTTGTTAGACTTGAATCTTATCAAGGACTCTCGAGGTGCTCAGAACTGTGATCTCTCCTCTCCCAGGATCTGATTTCGGTCAGAGAGCTTCAGGAAGCTGATACTGCTTTTAAATAGACAGGTTCATCGTCGGTGCAATACAATTTAGGGCTATCCTCCCTCCCTCCCTCCAGAGATGCAGCCCAGGTGATCTTAGGTTGAGGTCCTGGATTTTGGTCCCAGAGTGTCCAGGCAGGGTCCCAGATGGGGGCCTCTCCCTTTCCTCACCCTCCTCCAGCACCCCAGTGTGGCAGCCCCAGGGCTGGGGGCCAGGCTCTGCCCCTGCCTCTGCCTCACCTCATTCCCTGGGCTGACATCCGCTGCTGCCACAGCTGCGCTGTCTTCCAATGCCAAGAACCCGGTTCACATCCCCGCATGAGGGCCGTCCTCCAGCCTGCCTGTGCCAGGGTCTGTACACTGGGGGGCTGGGGAAGCTCCTGTCCTCTGGGAAGATGTCACTGTCTCGTGGCCCTTTCAGCCCCTCCCACTCCTCAGAGTGCCAGCGACAGTGGGGAGCCAGAGCCTGGAAGCCATCATTCTGGAAGCATGTTTTCTAATCTTTTTGTTCCTCACAGGCACACCGGAAGTCCCCATTTTCCTGGAGTCCCTGCCAACTGCTCTTGAGTAGTGGCTGTTGTCAGCCAGTGAGGCCGTGACAAGACATGTTTAGTATTAAAAGCACATGTTTATGTAAGAAGACAGACCTGGCAGGGCCGAGTCTCTGGGTAGCTCCTACGTCCCTTCACATAGGATCCCAGACATAAAACAGGTGGTGTCATGGAGGACAGAGCAACAAACGCAGGGCCCTGTTCCTTCCTCAGGCCTGGAAGCAGCTCTCACCTCTCATGGGAATGGGGTCGCTCCGGCCCTGGGCTGCTCCTGGGCCTCACACTTTGCTGCGTGGATTCCCAGGATGAAACTCCAAAAGCCAAACGCTTCTTCCCAGGGGGCTGGAGATGCACTGAGGTCTCGGTGCTGAACAGACGCCGTCACCTGCTTTGCGTCCTGCGGGCTCGCCCACTGTCTGGCTCCTCTGCCTGCGCCAAGGTGAGCCAGGGTCTGGCAGCAGGTTCTAGCCCCGGAGAGTCTTCGTCTCGATCCAGAGAGAAGCTCAGTCCAGTCTCCCATTGCCAGGGGCCTGTTGTGTTCCATGGTTTCATTTTCCTGTCTTTTGGGTGGTGACGGTCCTGAGCTGCAGAAACCTTAGAGGTGAGAAGCTGACTTTTTGTTTTTCAGAATAATGCTGAACATGAGCGTGAAAAGACATGACTTGGCCAAGTGTGTTGCCTTTAACCCTGTTGGTTCTGTGTAGAAAAAAGGAGCACGAGGCAGCTGGGGCTGCACACCCCCTTGGCCACTCAGTCTCCTCGTTTTCTTTCCATTTCAAATGCATTGTTTTGAAATTAAAGCATTTCACATTAAACCAAGTGAGGGTTCTTGGAATCTGTTTGAAATGAAACACTGCCAGGCTTGGCTCCATCTCCTCCCTCTGATGGCAATCTGAGCCTTTCACCGTGGCTATGAGGGGACAGCCTGTGGTGACAGTGTGCCCCTCAACCCACAGTGGCCCTGGCCGATGGCCAGTCTTCCCCTCCTGAAGCTGAGGCTATGGCCTCACTCCCACGGGAGAGGAGGACGCCTCCAGGCACTCCCGGGTGCGGCTGCGCTTGGCCTGTTCACTGTCATGGCGATGGCAATGCTGACTTCCCACATGCTTGTCGTCATTAATTACACAAAACAGCTCGTTGATCACAGAATTCTAAACAGCACGTTGCTGTCTGCAGCCTTGAAGAACTTCTAACTTTCAGAGGGTTTACGAAATGAACAAAGATAGCAGAAATATGTGTTGGTTCAATTTTTTTTAAAGACATTTGTGGCTACAGAGGAGATGGAAAGCAGATTTAGTTGTAGCATTTATCAATGTTACAAAGCAAAGAGATACATTGGAAACTGCCTGCATCCTGACAACACCAACTGGAAAAATCCAACCTGTTGGTCTGTTAGATGTTAGAGACACCGCAGGGGCCGGGGTGGGGAGGGTGCAAGTGCCAAGCACAGCCCCCAGCCGCAGGGGGTCCGCCCTCCCTGGGCGCCACGGCACCAAGGGCTCAGCAGGCGGTGGCTAGAGGTGTCATTAGCCGGTGCGGGTTAAAAAACAGACCTTGAACGATGAGTACTGATGGCAGTACTTGCGGAAACCTTCAGTCTGACCATGTCAAGCTGTTGGACATGTATGGTTTGGTCCTGATTTTGGTTCGCACTGGGGGCAGGATTCTGAGAGCCTTAGCAGCTCTGTCAGGCCCCTGCCAGGCTGGTGCAGAGGCGGGCGCGGAGCTCCGAGGTGGGTGGGCTGCCTTCTCCCTCACCGCACCCGCCATGGGGAGCTCTGCCACTCTGTGGGCCCCATTTTCAGCAGACAGTTTTTTCACGTGCACTAACTGCAAGTTTGTGTCCTCATGCACAGTCTGTGGTTGAATGACTCCTCACCACTTGGGAAAGAACTGGACCCTTTCTTATTGGGCTGGCCTTTTCCCTGGGATCTGGCAAGAGGCACTGCAGTTACGACAGGCAGGTGAGCCGGGTCCCTGAAAGCTGGTGGCCTTAGCTGGGTCTGACGCACCTGTGGATGGAAGGGGTTGCAGGTAATCACCTGTAAAACAAGGACATCTATTTCTTTAACTTACTGGTAGAAAGAAAATATACAGAGAGTTTAGGACCTAGTAGGCACTTGGCAGTATGACTCGCCATCCTCTGGCTGCCCCGAGGGTGGGAACTGGTGTTGGCACCATGTGCCCGCACTGCTGCTGTCCAGCCTGTCCGCACCTGAGCCCGGTCCTGGCTGACCTAGGGCCCTAGGGGAGGAGCTCCTACCTAGCTAGGACTGAATCCGCAGACAAGGCTCTTCTCACTGCAGCCTCACTGAAGAAGTTCCCAAGGGAAGTGTGAGCCCAGCGTCCAGGAAGCATGGCTGTTGTGCAATGAGTTGGTGGGGCCCAGGCAGCCGGGAGGCGAGGGGCCCCTTCCACTTACAGCCGTTCTCTTCCACCCTTCCTGGAGCTGAGTCCTGCCAGCTCTCAACAGTGCCGTTAGGGCAACAAGTTGCATGTAAGAAGCTGCCCTTGTGTGCTTTCCAATTTCCTCGCAATAAAGTCTAATTAGAAAGGCCTATGGCTTAGCTCTGAAGGCTTATTAGTTCTTTGTTTGTTTTCCTTATAAGCCTTTTTCTTCCTCAGACCAGTGAACAGGGCCTGGTGCAACTTAATTCTGCTGCGTTACCATGGCCAGTATAACTCTCCAGCCACCATGCTGGGTGTCGACCTTGCGAAGGACAGTTAGTTAGGCGCCTCCATACCTGAGCACCACAGCACACCTGCAGGTATGCAGACCTCACTATTAAGCCATTGTCTTCAAGGTGGCAGAGGCCCAGGGCCCCAGACCCCCTGCCAACTTGGGGAGACCTGGAGGCCTGGCAGCCCCTGAGAGAGTGGACAGGCTGCAGGCTTCTGGAATGAGGGATGGCTTGTGCAGCATGTGCTGCTGGGGCCCAGAGATGGTGGCTGTCCCAGCACTGGTCCCACAGGGGCACTGGGCCAGCCACTGGGCTGGCCACTGTTGCTAAGGCTAGAGAAAGGGAGTCACTTCTGCAGAGGGCAGATTCAGCCCTGCCCTCCCGGCCAGAGGGACTTGAGGACTCCTGAGGGCCACTCTGTCCTCTGTCTTGCCATCTGCATGGGAAACCCTCCTCTCGACGTAGGGTTTGTTTTAGTTGCTTCCTCTGAAAGAGAGTAGCTCTCCCTATAAAGGGTCCAAACAGAACAGTTGGCCCCTTTTCCTGCCTGCTCTGCTTTAGTCAGGCAAGCCTTGGTGACCTGCTTCTCTCCAGGCCGGCCCCCAGCATTCCTTCTTATCAAGCTTGCTGGGCAGATTCTCAGCCAAGAGAGCCCCCTCCAGACCGCCCTGTGGATTCCTGGGGCCACAGCCTCTGCCTCCCCCAGCGCCTGTGGACAGGAGGAGGCTGGTCCCCCAGCTGCCCTCCCCACCAGCCCTTGTCCTCTCCTGACCAGCTGGTGGAAGCGCCTTTGCTTGTCAGTAGGCCAAGGAAGAATAAGGCAGGGGAGGCTATCAGCAAGTTCGGCTCCAAGGCTCTGGTGGCGGGGCTTTTGTCCAAAGAGAGGGCCATTTCCTGAGGTGGCAAAGCTTGTCCTGATCTGGGGGCATATGGGAGCCTGGCCAGTTACAGCTCCCAGGGCAAAGTAGGCAGCTGTCACCATCTGCTTCAGCAGGGACAAGAGTCCCTTCCTGCAGGAGCCCTGTGAGCTGGAGGACAGGGTGGGGGGCTTAAGTCCTGGCACACTGCCCAAGCTGCCGTCCTGTTGCTCCCTGTGTATGTGTGCGGCAGCCTCAGAACTGGGAGCTGCGCTGCTTTCCTGCTGCAGCCTCAGGCCCCAAAAGCCGCCGTCTAAGGTTAGAGCCGGCCGGGTACTGTAGGGAGAGGGGATCAACTGGTCTCAGACCTCTCAGTCTGCAGAGGAGGGAGCAGGTGAGGGGAAAGCCTCAGGGGCAGGACAAGAAGCTGAGTCCTAGGCCTCCTGCCCGGTTCCGGAGGCGCAAGGCCCGGGAAGGCTGAAGCTCGGAGCGCCCTGCCCAGCCTCCAGGTCAGAACCACCCCGTAGAATTACAGGAGGCACCAGGTAGTCTGTGTGTGCCACCACTGTGATTTTTAATTTTTTAGTAGCCACATTTTAAAAGGTAAAAAGCAACAGGTGGAATTAATTTTTTAACATACATTTCATTTAACACAATATATCCAAACTATCATTTTGACATGTAATCAATAGAAAACATTAATGCGATATTTTACATCCTTTTTTCATACTAAGTCTTTGGATTTTACACTTACATCACATGTCAGTTCAGACCAGCCACATTTCAGTGCTCGGTAGCCACACAGGGCTCCTGGCTGCCATGTGCAACAGCTCAGGCCTCAGCCAAGGCAGCAGCCCCGTCCAGCCTTCTAAATAAATAATTCTTTTTTTCTTATATATCAAAAGCCCTCCGTCCCTGTGTGTCCCTATCCTTTGTCTTGTGCCTTAGTCTTGGGGGCTGGGGTCAGTGCCACCTGCCTAGGCTGGCATCCTGCAGGACTGGCTGTCTCAGAGATCCATCATTCCCTCCAGCTGTGCATCAGCCCCAGGCTGGAGAGCTGGACTCTGATTTGACTTGGCATTAGACAGTCACGCCAGGAACTCAGCTCTTGTTTTTCTTGCAGGAATCAATCGGCCTTAATCTCTGGGGCATGTGACAGCCCCTGTGGCACTCATTATTTCCAGGAGGGCATCTGCAGACAGGAGGCAAAGCTCCAGTGTTCCAGATATCAGCCTGGTGGCCTTTCACCACCTGGAGATGGGACCCTCTCTCCTGCCCAGCTCAGTGGGGCCTCCCCTGGCTGCTCCCACTCCCAGGTTAGAGTCTGGGTGTCTTTTCTGCCTGGGTCCCCACCTCCAATGACAACCACCTCCTAGGAAGGGGCCTGCCGGGGAGATGGGGCAGTGGGCTGAGGGCTGCTGTCACCGTCACATGCTCAATCTCAAAGATAAGGAAGTGAGCCGACTCAGGATTGAGATGACAGGCCAGCAGTTGGCTGGCTCCTGGACCCTGCAGTCATTTAGACATGTGGTCCAGTTCTGAGAAGAGTTGATTACAGGTGTGCCACCAGTGGTTAGAAGAAAATTGTCACCCAAGAATAAAGTGGAGGGAGGGGCAGGGGCAGAAGCTGCGTGGCCTCCGGGCCAGTGTCCCATCTCTGGCTCCATCTCACTGCCACACTGAGCTGGGAGCAGAATGTGGAGACCACTGTGCTTCCCTATTGCTTCTTGCTCTGTCAAGGCCTCCTGCTGCCCACCCCCACTGCCACTGGCAGCACCTCCGTTGAGGGCGGGTGACTCCAGTGCCCCCTCTCCAGAGTCAAATCCAGTGACTTCGCCATGAGGTGCAGCCGAGAGGTCTCGGGCCTTTTCTGTCCCACTGGGGCATGTGGCCAGTGTCAGCATCCGTCCCTGGCCTCCCCAGGCTACAGAGACCCTCTTCTTTCCTCCGGATGTTTTCTACCCTCAGCCAGGCCTGCCAGGATGCCCCAGCATCCCAAACCCAGCACGACGGCAGCACCCCACCCCCCCGGCTCCCCGCAGACTTCCTTCTACCGGCACTGTAAGTGTTCCGGGGAATGACACATCTGGAGCTGGGCCTGCGAAATGGGTGCCTGGAAATGCGGGGGACCCACTCCCTTCCCGAAGACCCTGGGGTTCACCAGAGGGGAAGGCAGCGACCAAGATGCCCTCCCTGGCAACAATGTGAAGATGAGGCTAACAAGCTGGCCCCACCATCAGCCACTCCATCCTTCAGGAAACCATAGGGGCCACTTCTGGTGGGTGGAGTGAGGAGAGGCAGGAAGGAAAACCCGAGGGCTCCCCGGGGCCTCAGCAGCACCTGACGGCTGACACCGGGGAGCCTTGTGGGGAAAAGCCTAGGGGAGTCCTGACAAACTCTGCAGCTGGTCTGAGACTCTTCCTGAGGGCCCAGCAAGGCGCGTCCTACCGCATCTGGTCCTGGAGCCGCGCACAGACGGGATGGCGCCGAGACAGCCAACAAGATAGGGCAGCGGGATGCTGGGTCATGTGCAGGGGAGCCAGCTGGGTAGTGCCCACCTTTAAAATGTACCTAGTGCCAGTTGTCTGGGACGAATGCCCCCTGGGTGCCTCATCATGCCAGGGCCCTCCCACCCACCCTGGCCTAGCAGAGTGGTCACACCTCCTCCAGCGGGTGACAGCCGTGGGTGGGAGCCTGCCTGAGCTCTAAGGCCAGGCCTCTGTTTTTGAGTCTGCGCCTGCGTGCATGGGTCTGTCTGTCGGGAGGTTTGTGCCTCCTGCACGCAGCTATTTCCCCATCTGGGTGTAATCACTGTTGGCTCCCTCTGGGTGTGTGAGTGTAACAAGTCCAGACCTTCCCTGGGAGTCGGGCAGCCTCAGGCGCCCCGCCTTCTGGACTGTGCCCTTTCCTCCCAAACTGGTTGTGCAAGAGCGGTGTAAGTGGGTGAGCGTGGGTGCATGCGCAGCGGCTCTGCCCCCCCCCAGCTCGCTGCCTCACCTGCAGGGAGGGGCCTCCCAGAAACTGCTTTCCCAGTGCCCAGCTGCCCCACCTTGCCAGAGCCCAGCTGAGCAGCCAGCGAGGACACACGCCTCCTGCCCACCACGCCCGACGGCCCTCCTGCGCCTGCCGAGCCCAGCCTGAGCTGGCACCTGCCTTTAGCACCATGTTCAAGGGGCTGAGCAAAGGCTCCCAAGGGAAGGGGTTCCCGAAGGGCTCCCCGGCCAAGGGCTCCCCTAAGGGCTCCCCCAGCAAGCACAACCGGTGAGCAAGGCTGAAGGAGGGGCTGGGATGGGGTGGTGCCAGGCCCAGGTGCTCCGGCCACCTGGAGGCAGCAGCCTGGAGCCCAGGACCAGCCCAGCGCTGGCATTTGGTGTCCTGAGGCCAAAGGACTCAGGGATGGACTCTCCCTTTCCCTTGGCAGGAGGCCGGGGAAGCCCTCGAGCTCCTCACTTTCCCCCCCGGGGCCCTGCGGGCCACCGGTCTAGGCACTCTGCCGGGGACGTGCTGGACAGGGCCTGAGCAGCTGCTGCCTGCCTTGGCAGGGGGACTGAGGCTGGAATGACTGGCTCCCTGTCCAGGGCTCTGGCCTCAAGGCTCTGTTTGAGTGGGGATGATCCTTGGCACAGGGTGCAGGGTGGGCAGAAGGAGTGAGAAGCCTAGAGGTGGGGTGAGGACCTGATGCCCGGGAGGCGGGGCTGTGCTGCCCTGGGGTCCAAGGGCAGCTGCCCCCACCAGGCTCCCACCTCGGCCTATAGTGCTTTCTGGAGCTGGAGTTGATGCCTTTGGGGCAGGGGGTGGGGGTGCTGTGGGAAAGAGGGAGGGGCCCACAGGCTGGTGGGAGAAGGGACATCCTCAGAGCCTCCCTCAGGTCACCCAGCAACCTGCCGGCCCAGCCTGGCTCTCCGAGACCCGGCTGCAGACGTGTTCTCGGCTCACTGACCATCAGCCCCCTCTGCAGGGAGGTGGTGGCAGATGGGGGTGGAGATGGAAGGCCTATTACCCGATAGGGATCACGTCAGTAACCACGCGGAGGCTGGGCTCCTAGGTGGGCAGAGAGAGACCCACTGGAGCAACCTGTCCTTGCCGGGGCGCCCAAGCCCTGCCCAGGGTGAAGTGGGCTCTTCCTGGCGGTGGGAGCAGTCCTTCTAGGAGGATGGGCCTGGGGACGGGACACCCAGGGCTCAGGACCAGCAGCTCCCAACCCAGGCAGGTTCCTGGGCAGCACATTCCTGGCCCAGGGCAGCTCTGTCCACATGGCCTGTCCACTCTGGCCACAGCCCCCAAACAGGGCTCATCACTCCCCTCACTCCCCTCGTATGGAATCCATTCATTTTACATGTATTTATGGAGCGCCTACCATGTGCTGGGACCATTCTAGGCACTGGGGATGGCGCCTTAAACAGAACAGACAGATCCTCGCCTCCTGGCACCTACATTCTGGTGCAATAAAAACGAACACCGGGTGCCGGCTCTGCACTGGACGCTTCAGATGGAGTAGTCCTCGTAACATTCGCAATAACACTGTCAGGTCCATATTAGTAAAGCCTCAGTTTACAGAAGAGGAACCTAGGACACAGAGAGGTTGAGTGACTTATCCAAGGCCACGCAGCAGTGGCGATGGAGATGGATCAAACCCATGCTGTCTGGCCGCGGAGTTCTTTTAGACTGGTTTTGCTGGCACTGCTTCTCTGCCTGAGGGCTTGTCCTCTGACCCCTGACTCAAGGCACAGCTTGGTGAGCCTTCCCTTTCCCCAGAACTGTGACCTCACGAGGTGTTGTGCTCATGAGGTTGGACCACTCTGCTTTCTGTTAGGCCCTAGTGAGTGTGGTGCCTGGAGAGGCTGTGGAACAGGCGCGTGGAAAACGAGCTCTGGGACCCAGTTCAGGCTCTCCCTCTACTTCTGGCTCGGTGACCTGGAGCAAGGCTAGTCCCAGTCTGGGCCCTGAACCTCCCAGGCTGGAAAATGGTGGGGTGCTCTGGCAACCTCTTGGCCTTCCCCCTGCCCCTAAGCTGTGTGGCTCCTCCGGACGGTTGTTAGCCTGGGTGCAGGCAGGGCTGGGGTGGAAGTAGGGGGGAGCATGCTTCCGTCCCCTGTCACCAGCCAGCCCAGCTGCCCCTCCCCAAGGCCCAGCCATGCCTTCTCAGGTATCAGCAGCAGAGCTGGTGATTCACTCTCTCCTGGGGCCAGCCGCTCTCCAGCCCAAGGAAGCGGCAGAGAGCTGCGTGGGGGTGGGACCTCACTGCTGGGACAGTGATGTCGGCCCACATCATTGCAGCACACACACCCGGAGTCCCCACTTTCTGAGCCCTTGTATGAGGATAGTGCTCCCCCACCCAGGACAAGGCACCTCACAGCCTTGTGGGGAGAAGCCTAGGGGAGTCCTGACAACCTCTGCAGCTGGTCTGAGACTCAGAGCTGCCCGGGGCTGGGACTCCTCCCTCTAGGGCAGTGAGCCTCGCTCTAGGGCAGGACAGGGCAGAAAGTGTCAGGGGACCCCACCCAGGTGGGTAGACCCTCCCAAGGGGAAGAAAGGGGCCTTTTCAACATGCTGCCTGCTGTCCCCACCCCACCCCTAGTGCTGCCACCCAGGAGCTGGCCCTGCTCATCTCCCGCATGCAGGCCAACGCTGACCAGGTGGAGAGGGATGTCCTGGAGACCCAGAAGAAGCTACAGCAGGTGAGGCCAAGGTGTGGGGGCGCGGGAGGTGGTCCCTGGGATGCCCACTGGTGGTGGTGAAGCGGGCCTGACAGCCCTTGTCCTTCACTGGCCATCCCCAAGCACAGTGGGGGAGAGGGCTCGGTACTCCTTCTCTGCTGAGTTCCCAACTTGGGGGGCCAAAGGGGCTCCGGGGATGCCCAGGCCTCCCCTGTCCTTGCACCTGCCCCGCAGATGCCCTGGGCCTGCCCTCTGCAGTGTGGACACTGCGGTTGGCGGGCAGCCAGAGTCCCTCAGGGTGGGGTGCGGGTGGCAGTGAGGCCAGCAAGGATGCCGTCCGTGCCCGCAGGACCGGCTGCGCAGCGAGCAGAGCCAGGCCCTGCAGCACCAGCAGGAGACAGGCCGCAGCCTGAAGGAGGCCGAGGTGCTGCTGAAGGACCTCTTCCTGGATGTGGACAAGGCCCAGCGGCTCAAGCACCCACAGGCAGAGGAGATTGAGAAGGAGTGAGTGGGGTGGCAGCTGGGCTCCAGGGCAGAGGTGCTGGGGTCCTGGGCGCCCCAGGCCCAGCCCTGACCCGCCGGCCACCTGTTTGGCAGCATCAAGCAGCTGCACGAGCGGGTGGCCCAGGAGTGTGCCGAGTACCGCGCCCTGTATGAGAGGATGGTGCTGCCTCCTGACGTGGGGTCCAGGATTGACTGGGCCCGTGTGCTGGAGCAGAAACAGGTCAGGGGCCACCCCAATGTTGGAGCCACCTCAAAGAGCTCCACGTCACACCCGGCATAATCAGAGAGCTATATCTCATCAGGGGCCTGACAGCATGCTGAGACCTGGGGGTGTTTGGGGGGCTGGGAAGGGAGAAAGCAGAGGAGACAGCATAGCCAGGAAGGCTTCCTGCAGGAGAAGGCCCAGAGGCCTCAGAGAAGTGGGAGGGCTTGGTTGGGTTGGGGTGAAGTGGTGAGAGAGGACATTCCAGAAATAAGGACTAGAGCCTCCTACCTAGAGTCTGGGATGTGATAGGAAGTGGGATTTGCTGGGCAGGCAGGCAGAGCCAGTTTGCAGCCCCTTCAATAGCAGGTGAGGAACTGGGCTTTGATACCCAACAGAAGGGGTGCTGTTGATGACGGTCAAGGGACATTGTGGGGGCATGGCAGCACTGGGTCCAAGAGCCTGGCTGGAGGCGTCCAGGAAGGAGGCACTGAGGCCCGGGTGGTGAGGAGGCAGGACAGACCTCCGGCCTATGGGGATGTGGAGAGGGCTCGGGGAGAGGGCGCTAGAGGGCTCCACCCTGGGCCCTCTGGCTGAGCTGCGCGGGGGGGCTCTTCTGCAGAAGCAGGTCTCTGAGGGCCACTATGGGCCAGGCGTGGCGGAGCTGGAGCAGCAGATTGCTGAGCACAACATCCTGCAGAAGGAGATCGAGGCCTATGGGCAGCAGCTGCGCAGCCTCATAGGGCCGGTGGGTGAGCCAGCCATCTGGATGCATCCCTGCCTGGCCCCGCTCCCAGGCCCCTTTTCTCCCATCAGACCCTGAGCTGGGCCCAACTGGCCCTCTGAGAAAGGGACAGAGGTTGGGGCGCAGTTGGCCTAGGGCCTAGGGTGCAATTTCCCCTGCACCCAGCCCTCACTGGGCCTGTGTTTTCTCCACCCTGGTCGAGGCAGGACGCAGCGCCCATCAGGAACCAATACCGGGACATACTGGTGAGCAGAGGCAGGGATGGCCAGCGGGTGGGCTGGGAGTGGGCAGGGCCAGCACTTCTCTCACTACCCCTTTCCTCTCCCCACCTCTCGCCAAGCACAGAAGGCAGCCTCATGGCGCAGGCAGAGCCTGGGCAGCCTGTACACGCACCTGCAGGGCTGCACACGCCAGTTGAGTGCCCTGGCCCAGCAGCAGCGCCGCATCCTGCAGCAGGACTGGAGCGACCTCATGGCGGACCCAGAGGGCGTGCGGCGGGAGTACGAGGTCAGTAGGGTGAGTGGGACGGAGGGGGACAGGGACCTGCTCAGCCTCACGCCAGCTCCCCCATCCTCTCTAGCACTTCAAGCAGCAGGAGCTGCTGAGCCAGGAGCAGTGTGTGAACCAGCTGGAGGACGATGGCGAACGCATGGTGGAGCTCGGGCATCCGGCTGTGGGGCCCATCCAGGTGCCAAGGCCTAGCCGCTCCCCGTCACTGCTGGGAGTCCCACTCCCTCAATCTGGGGCTTCCCAGGAAGGCTAGAGAGAGGGAGAGGCGGCCCATAGCAGGGACAGGGCTGGGGGACGGATGGGCGGACCAGGGACCGTGGTCCAAAGGCTCCCTTCTGCTGTCCCCAGGCCCACCAGGAGGCCCTGAAGATGGAGTGGCAGAACTTCCTGAACCTGTGCATCTGCCAGGAGAGCCAGCTACGGCACGTGGAGGACTACCTCAGGGTGGGCCTGGGGGCAGGGCCAGGCAGGGGGGCCCGGGTAGGGTGGGCAGCCACCAGGGCCAGCCGGGGCACAGAGGTGCCCGAGGACCCCACAGGACATGATCCATCATAGGAAACAAGGTACCTCATAAAAATGACAGAGCTGTACCATTGTCACGAGGTCCCACAGGGAAAATAGTGCCATGCAAACATCCTTAAGATGATCTACTGCTCTGAGGGGAGTAGAAGTTGGTTCTTACAGGCGAAGAAAAATCTTGTTATTTTTATGCATAAATCACAGATATACACACGTAAAGGGTAGACAGCATGTCTGTGGGATTAAGGTTTCCTGGAGGTGGTGGGAAGAGCAAGGAAAACTTATGCAGAAAGCCTTCTTAGAAGGGACAAGAATTGTAAAAAAGTGTTGAGAAACGTTGATATATACAGATATTTTTTTGTAATTTCTCCCCAAGATGTTTCATATACTTTGAGACAAAAGCCAAATTTTTCTTTTCTTTTTTCTTTTTTAATGCTTTCCTATATAACCACAATACCATTATCACACCCATGGACAAGAATTCCGTAATATTGCCCAACCACTGAATGTGTGTTTAAAAGCACATTCCCAGCTTCTAATCTGGGACTGGGAGAAGTGCAGCCAGATGCCCTGGCACCCACCCAGAGTACCCGCCAGGAGGATTCCAGGGGAAGGTAGTGAGGCAGGAGGGACAAAAGCCACAGTGTTTGATGACACTAAAAGAAATCAAGATCGGTGAAGGCAATACCCCATTTGCAGAGCATTCCTGTCACCTAGGCCCCACTGCCTGGGTGGGGAGCCCAGTGGTGTAGGCAACGGGCAGTTTGCCTGTAGCTGGGTTTCAGGGTGGGTGGGCTCTGTTCTTGACTACCCACCAACCTTAGTTCCAGGAAGAGGCCGACTCCATCAGCCAAACCCTGGCAAAGCTCAACTCCAGCCTGGACACCCAGTATAGTCCTGCCCCTGGGGGTCCCCCTGGTGCCCCCACAGAGCTGCTGCAACAGCTGGAGGTAAATCGGTCCCACCTGGCCATCTGTACCCCACTCCTGGAATGGGGCCTGCCTGTGTGTCTGGGCTTCACCCACCCCAGCCTGGGGGACAGGAGAAAGGGGTCTCCTCCAGCAGGAGGAGGCTGATCTGCTACCACAAGCCCGTTTCCGCTCTGGACCTCGGCCTCCTCACATATGGTGTGATAGGGGCCGTCCGGCCTCTGAGGCCCCTCCAGCTCTGGGGGCCTGGGTGATGCTGGGCAGACCCCACCCCACGCCAACCAGCAGACCCCAGCATCCTGGGCCTGCCAGGAGAGCCCCTTTTACTTTGCTGACTTAAAGACCCTGTCTTTGTGAAGACCAGACCCCGGGCCTTCCTGTGGGGCAGGTATGAGGCTGGCCACTGGTGGAGCCTGGCCTGAGCTCCCACTGCCTGGGCCCTGCAGGCAGAGCAGCAGCAGCTGGCCATCGCCGAGAAGACTGTCGGGGCCCTGCAGCGGCAGAGCCAGGAGGTGGCCCCTCTGCAGCAGCGCAGGACCCCTCCCCAGCAGCCCCTGCATGTGGACAGCATCTGTGACTGGGACTCTGGAGAAGTAGGGGCTCTGTCCGTCCTGCCCCTGGCCCCACCCAGTAACCCTCTTCTACCCCATCCATGCCCCCTGCAGTCCCCATGGCTGCCCCTCACCTCCCCACTTCCACCCAGCCCCTGCTCTGCTCCTGCCCAGCCCCAGCCCAGTCCCAGCCGTGCCCTGCCTCTGGTCTCTCACTGTCCCTACCCCAGGATCCCCTGCCCTGCCCTTATTCCTGCCCCTGCCCCAACTCCCGTCCCCCACCTGGTCCTGTCCCAGCCCCTACCCCATCTTGGCCTTTGTCCCTTCTCTGGCCCCTGCCCCTGAGCCTGCATGAGCTCCTTCCCACTGTCCCCCAGGTGCAGCTGCTGCGGGGTGAGCGGTATACGCTGAAGGACAACACGGACCCGCACACCTGGGTCGTGCAGGGCCCAGGTGGGGAGACCAAGCATGCCCCAGCCGCCTGCTTCTGCATCCCGGCTCCAGACCCTGCAGCCGTGGCCAGGGCCTCCAAGTGGGTCTGCCGAGGGATACTCAAGGGCAGGAGGCAGGCTTTGGGCCCAGACCTGGCCCTGTGGTGTTGGAAGCCATTGCCTGGCCTTTGCCTGGGCCAGTGACTGCCGGGGCTGGGGGAGTGTCCAGGGGAGAGAGGAGGTGCATCCCACTCTGATCAGCACTTTGTTCCAGGCTGGCCTCGGAGCTGCAGGCCCTGAAGCAGAAGTTGGCCACAGTCCAGAGCCATGTGAAGGACAGTGCTGTGCACCCCTTACGACCTGGCCAGCAGGGTACCAAGGGCTGGCCGGGGACCTGGGGCAGTGCTGGGATACAGGGAGTAGATTCCTACTTTGGCCCCTGTAAGGGGAGCTGCGATGAGCAGGGGTGACCCTGGGTTAGGGACCCTGCTCTGGGAACTCCATCTTTTGGGTTGGCAGTCTCCTAGGGCTATCCCTCTCTCAGTTCGGCCCTCCTTCCTATCCCACCCTGGACCCTCTGTAGGCACTCAGGGAGGGGCCCCTCAGGCAGACAGTTGGGAGTAGGCCCTGGACCCTCACAGGCACCCTATCCCCCCAGCTCCGACCAACTCAGCCCCAGTCGACCCACAGGCCCAGAAGCTCCTGACACAGATGACCCAGCTGGGCAGGGACCTGGGGCAGATAGAGGAGCAGGTGCTGGCCTGGGCCCGGACCCCGCTGAGCCGCTCCGCTCCGCTGGAGGACCTGGAGGGTCGCATCCAAAGCCACAAGGTGGGTAAGCAAGGACGGCCAGGAGAAGAAACGGGCCCACCCTGGGGGTGCACAGACTGAAGACAAGTAAGTGTGTGAGCACCCAGGGACCCACGGAGGGGGAAGGGAGGGGACAGTCCTGGGCTCAGACAAGTTGGGTCCCATCCCGGCTCCTCTGCAGACCAGCTTTGTGACCTTGGGCAATTCACTTAATCTCTCTGGGCCTTGGTTTCCTTGTCCCTGAAAACAGGCACAGTAATACCCAGCTCATCTGGCTGTCCTGAGGATGGAGTGTAAGGCCTGGGAAGGTTCTAGAAGGGAAAGTCTCATAGTAAAGGTCCTACACTGCACCCCGGGAGGTGTTCTGGGACAGGAGGATCCTGAGAACAGCAAAAACCACCTTAGGGGTGATCTTTCCCAGAAAGCAGGCAGGGGTCTCGGGAGGAGCTGCAGTGTGTGCGAACGTGATCATAAGGCCTCTGTGAGCCGCAAGGGCAGCGGGGACCCTGGATTAGGGACCCTGCCCTGGGAATTCCATCTCCTGGGTTGGCAAACTCCTAGGGCTATCCCTCCCTCAGTTCTCTGCACCTGCCTGTGGCCCTCAACACTGTCCCACACTGTGGCCTTTCCTGCCCCACACTGGACCTCTGAAGAGCCAGTAGTGAAAGCCAACCTTCCCCGTACCTGGGGGTTCTGTCCTTCCAATTCAGTTTCTGCGCAGGCTTGGTTTCTCAGAATTTGAGTCATGTCGTTCACGTTGTGCAGCTCTGTATTTTCACCCCACCATATAGCGTAGCTAGTAGCAGGCAGCCTTCCCCGGGGCAGAGGGCTGGAAGGAGTGGTACACTGGGTCCAGAGGCCGATGATGAGGTGGACATGAGCATGCAGGGTGTCTATTAGGATCCCATGGGTGCGACACCTGTGGGGTGGGAGGGCTCAGGAGTGTCGGAAGGAGGCAACATGCACTGACGTGGACTCAGTGAAGACCTGCAGCCCTAGGGACGCTCCGGAGCTGATGGAGGGCTAGGCCTTCGTACCCCACGCTGCTGAGTCCCTGTTCAGGACCGGCCTGGGACATGGAGGCTCTCTTGAGCCTAGGCAGTGCCCACACAGCTCCTTGGGTTTGGAAGTCACAGCACCTTCCATCAGGGCTCTTGGGGGACTGCGGGAAGTCCAGTTAGACTGGAAGGTAGGCAGTGCGTGGCACAGAGTTGGCACAATGACTTATGGAACAAATGAGCAAAGAACTAACTAATGAATGAACAAAATAAGCCCAAGTGGACAAAGCTAGGGCTTTGCTGTCTGAAGGTTTTGTGAACAGGACAGTGACATGAAGGTGGGCACCTGTGTGCCTGGAGCTGCTGAGCTCCTGACACCAGGGTATCATTTCATCCTTCCATCAATCATTCTGTAGATGAGGAGATGGAGGGTCAGAGAGGTTGACCTGCCCCAGGTCATATACACAGAGGCTGTGCCTCGATTTCTGGCCTGGGTCTGAGCATGTACCCACCACACTCTCAGGCCTCATGGGCAGAGTTAAGTTGACCTGGCAGGAGGACCCACCTGCTGAGAGCAGAGATCTCTGACCCTCATGCTGCCCTGTCCCAGGACACAGTGCAGCGGCTGCAGAGCCTGGGAGCAGAGAAGGCCGCCGCCCAGCAGGAGTGTGAGGAGTCTCTGTCTGCACAGCCTGTGGGCCCTGACGCTCTGCATCTGCCTGTGGCCCTCAACAATGTCAAGAACAAGTACAGAGACATGCAGATTCTCTGCAACCTCTGTGGAGAGAAGTGAGTGCTCTGGGGCAGCTGGGCAGGGCAGCATGGGTGTGGCCGAGAGGGCATCTGACCCTCAACCCCTTCCACGGCAGAGCCATGGCCACCCTGGGTCTGGAACGGCAGATCCAGGACGCAGACAGGGTCATCCGAGGCTTTGAGTCTACCCTGGTGCAGGAGGCCCCCATCCCTGCTGGCCCGGGTGCACTGCAGGAAAGGGTCAGCGAGCTTCAGGTGAGGGCTGGGCCTTCTGGTGGGAGGGGGCATAGCCTGCTAAGCATTCAGGGGTGGATGGTGGGTGATGTGGTGTCTTACGAAGCCATGAGGGTGCACCATGCTGTATCCCCTTCTCCCCCAGCGCCAGCGGAAGGAGCTGCTGGGGCAGCAGGCCTGTGTGCTGGGGCTGCACCGGGAGCTGAAGGCCACTGAGCATGCGTGTAGCGCTCTGCAGAACAATTTCCACGAGTTCTGCCAGGACTTGCCTCGCCAGCAGCGCCAGGTGCGGGCCCTCACCGACCGCTACCACGCCGTAGGGGACCAGCTGGACCTGCGGTGAGTGGTTGGGCCATTAGGGCATGCCCCTTGTGCATGGCAGCCGCTGCTGACAAGCTGTGTGCCCTCGGGTGGTGACTTCACCCCCCTCAGGCTGTCTCGCCACTTCTAAAATGGGACGGCAGCACAACAGGATTCTCCCATGGTGCACCTGGCAGACACCGCCCAGTCCAGCCCTGAATGCTCAGCTCCAGCCAAGGGCCAGGGTTAGGGGATCAGCATGGTGGGTTGCTCAGGCTTCCTGAACCGTCCTCAGGGGGCACCTTTCACCTCTGCTCTGGACCTTATCTCCCTGCAGGGAGAAGATGCTGCAGGATGCCAGCCTCACCTACCAGCAGTTCAAGAACTGCAGGAACAACCTGAGCTCCTGGCTGGAGCACGTGCCCAGCAACCAGGTGCGGCCCAGTGACGGGCCCAGCCAGATCTCCTACAAGCTGCAGGAGCAGAAGGTGAGGGGCTGGGGCTGCTGGCAACCTGGGGGCAGGTCAGGCCCCTGCCCAGAGCTAGGGCCTCAAGTGCGCCTCACCACCTCAGCCCTCACAGGGAGAACCGCCTGTGCACGGTGGCCCCCTAGTGGCCAGTGTTCCAAGAGACCTCAAAGCTCAGGCCAGATGCCTTGAGTCACCCTCCCCCAGGGCTCTACTTGGCCCACAGGAATGGCCAGCGCATCCCAGGCCGGTCCGACGGGGGCAGGGGACTTCATGCTCCAGGGGTTCCAACTCCTACTGCACCCCTACTGTTCCTCATGTTTGCCAAGCCCCTACCATGTACTTTCAATGGACAGAGGCTGGGGGTGCACTCAAGTCTGGGGTGGGGACTGGTGTGTCCCAGGCCATGATGCTGGTAAGTGCTTTGGTGGAGAAGCCAGAGTGCCCTGGGGGCCCGCTGCAGGACCCTGTGGGGTCAGGGCCAGGGGTCTGGAAGGAACCAACTTCTGAGCTGAGGCCTGAGGAACAGATAGGATGGCTGACTAGAGGGGGCGAAGGGTCCCAAGTGGGTCAGGGGAAAGGAGGGGCTCATGGGTCAAAATGACCAGGGTGCAGGCCCTTTCAAGGAGTGGGAAGGAGGCCGGACCCCATCCTGAGGGTGCCAGGGAAGCTGGCTGGGCCCCGGGTTCTGTCTGGGGCACCTGGGAAGACAGGGCGCACCTGCCTGAGTTAGGGAGCACCAGGAACAGAGCACAGTTGGGGGGAAGCAGGGAAGTCAGTTAGGTTGTGCTGAGTTGAGGTGCCCAAACAGCCAGGGGGAGATGGAAGTCGCAGGGGGGAGTATGGGGCAGTGGTGAGCTGGGGCTGGCTGTGGGGTGTGCAGGAGAGCAGAGATGGGCCTGGGCTAGAAGGATGGGGACACCCACGGAGAGCACAGGAAATAAAGTCAGGAAGGGGGCTTGGGGCAGAGATTCTGAGCCCCAGCTGCAGATTGGAATCAGGGGGTTTTAGACATGCCTGTGCCGAAACCCCAGCCTGGACCGATTCAGTCAGAATCACTGGGGCCAGAGCATCAGTTTTGTTTTTTTTAAAGTCTCCCAAGTAAATAAAAGGGGCAATAAGGGTTAAGAACTACTGTGACAGCGGTTCTCAGAGTGGTCCCTGAGCCACAGCACCAACAGTGCCTAGAAGCTTGTCAGAAATGCAGATCGCAGGCCCCAGCCCAGACCTGCTCCGCCAGAAACTCGGGGGTGGGCCGTCGGCCTCTGTCCCACGAGCCCTCCAGGTGACTCTGATGCCCAGCACAGTATGAGAGCCGCTGTCCCGGGACACAACTCTGAGCAGCACTAGGCAGAAGAAAGGGACTCTGCCCAGGGAAGGAGGGGAGAGAACCAGGAAAGGAGGAGGCCAGGACAAGGCCATTTCCCACCCAACCCGTCCTGCTGCCACGGCTGCTGGCCCCCCTGCCGCTGGAGGCGCCTGGCTGGGGGAGGGCCTGACCATCCCGGCTCCCACCTCTTCCCCGGCAGAGGCTGCTGCAGGAGATCCGGGGCCACGAGCAGGACAGAGCTGCGGCGTGCCGTCTCTCCCAGGAGCTGCAGGCAGCTCTCCAGGTAAGTAGTGTCACTTCGGATTGTCCCTCTTTATCCCCACCCGTAGCTTCCCCCACTGACCGCCAGCCTGCTGTCCTTCCCTCCCTGCTCAGGACTACGTGCTGCAGGCAGACACCTACTGCTATTCCCTGGAGCCCACGTGGGCAGGGCCAGCCCCCAAGAGACCTCGAGCGGCTCCCCTGCAGGAGAGCATCCAGGCCCAGGTGAGACAGGACCCAGCAGGCTTGGCACCCCTCTGCACCTGCTCCACGGCCTCTGAGGTGAGAGCTGACCTGCCCCCCCTTTTTCTCCTTTTGGCCTCTCCAGGAGAAGAACCTGACTAAAGCCTATACTGAGTTTGCAGCTGCCCACCAGCAGCAGCTGCACCGGCTGGAGTTTGCCAGCAAGATGCTGGAGAAGGTATGGAGACGATGCTCCGTCCCCGTGCTGGGAAGCATGGCCTGCCGTTGACCTGGCAGTCTTCCCTTCCTCCTTGCCATGTAGCCTGCAGCCCAGGGCAGCCTCAGTGGCCTGAGTGGGTGCAGCTCCCTGCTTCCCCTGGCAGCTCTAACAGGCTGGCATCTTGGCAGAGTCAGGCCCTGGAGATGTTATTCAGGGTGGTCATAGCTTAGCCACTGGGCAGTCCCCCTAGTGGGGAAAAGAGAAAGTCCCTGCAAGGTCTTCAGCCGTAGGATGAGTTGCAGTGGGCAAGAGGCCACCTAGGTCTCTATCCCTCGGTGACTGGGAGCCAGAAGCCCTCTGTGACTTTGGTGACTGGCGGAGGGACTTCCCAGCTTCCTCCTACCCTCAGCCATACTCCAGTATTCCCCAGAGGAGTGTGAGCCCACTTCCAGGAGCTTGGGAGGACGGGGAAGGGAAATGCTTGGGAGGGAGATCTTGTCCTATTTGCATGTTCAAGTGCACACTCGGCCTGATCCTTGCCTTGCATCCTAATATGGGATTGTAGGTCCTCTCCAAATGCTGTCTCTGAGCATCTCAGGTCTGCAGCTCCACCTCCCAGACCTCCCAGGAAGTCTCAGGAAGCAGAGTGGGGACCCTGATCTCAGGGGGATGAAGCTTACCTCTTTCCTACCACCCCAGTACTTGCCCCTTCTTCCTCTCATGCTGCAGAAGGAGCTCAGTGAGAACATCCAGGTGACCCATGATGAACAAGCAGGGAAGGAGGCAGAGGCCCTGAAGTCCCAGCTGGAGGAAGAGAGGAAGCTGGTGGCCCGGGTGCAGCAGGAGCTGGAGGAGCAGAGGAACCAGTTACTGCAGTTGAAAACCCAGCAGCCCTTGGAGAGGCTGGAAGAGAGGGAAGTGGTGGAGTTCTACCGGGACCCCCAGCTGGAAAGCAGCCTGTCCAGGGTGAACTCCCAGGTGGAAGATGAGGGTAGGAAGCGGGCCGTCCTGCAAGCAGAGTTGGAGGTAGTGGCCCAGAAGGTCGTCCAACTGGAGAGCAAGAGGAGGGATGTGCAGCCTCATCTGCTGACCAAGGAGGTCACCCACATCGAGCGGGACCCCGGCCTAGAAAGCCAAGTGTCCCAGCTCAGCAGTGAGGCCCAGCACCTGCGGGAAGAGAACATTGCTGTCTTGGCCTGGCTGGAGGAGCTAAAGGAGGAGCTGCTGGCCCTTGAGCAGAAGGAGGCAAACGTGAAGGAAAAGGTCGTGGTGAAAGAAGTGGTCAAGGTGGAGAAGGACCTGGAGATGGTCAAGGCAATCCAGGCACTGAGGCTGCGGACTGAGGAGGATGCTGCACAGAGGAAGGGGGCAGAGGCAGCCGTGACCAAGCTGCAGGCTCGCATTAAAGACCTGGAGCGGGCAATCAGTGCTGTGGAGCCTAAGGTGATCGTGAAGGAGGTGAGGAAGGTGGAGCAGGACCCGGGCCTTCTCAAAGAGGTGTCCCAGCTGAGGAACCTTCTGGAGGAGGCGAGAAGTAAGAATGAGACGCTGGCCCAGGAGCTGCAGGGATTGCACAGCAAGCACAGCGTGGTAGAGAAGCAGAAGCCCAAAGTGGAATTCCAGGAGCGTGTCCACGAGACCTTCCACGTGGCCCCGGAGACAGAGCAGGAGATGGTTCGGCTCAGGGCTGAGCTGCAGGAGACCACCAGCAAGAGAGGCAGGGTGGAGGAAGAGGTGGGGCGGCTGCTGGCAGAGCTGGCTGTCCTGCGCACCCAGAAGCCCGAGGTGGAGTACAAGCAGGTGACACAGGAGGTGGTGAAGCACGAGAAGAGCCCTGAGGTGCTGCGGGAGATCGATCGCCTGAAGGCTCAGCTCAACGAGCTGGTCAACGGCAGCGGGCGGGCCCAGGAGCAGCTCATCCGGCTGCAGGGGCAGCGCGACGAGTGGAGGCGGGAGCGGTCCAAGGTGGAGACCAAGACGGTGACCAAGGAGGTGGTGCGCCACCAGAAGGACCCCGTCCTGGAGAAGGAGGCTGCACGGCTCCGCCAGGAGGTGCGAGAAGCAGCTCAGAAGAGGCGCGCCACGGAGGATGTTGTCTACGAGCTGCAGAACAAGTACCTGCTGCTGGAGAGGAGGCGGCCCGAGGAGAAGGTGGTGGTGCAGGAAGTGGTGGTCACCCAGAAGGACCCAAAGCTCCGCGAGGACCATGGCCGGCTGAGCCGGAGTTTGGATGAGGAGGTGGGCCGGCGGCGGCAGCTGGAGCGGGAGGTGCAGCAGCTGCGGGCCGGCGTGGAGGAGAAGGAGGGCCTGCTCAGCTTCCAGGAGGACCTCGGCAAGAAGCTGGCTGTGGAGAAGGAGCTGCGGCAGCTGACCTTGAGGATCCAGGAGCTGGAGAGGCGGCCTCCTGCGGTGCAGGAGAAGATCATCATGGAGGAGGTAGTCAAGCTGGAGAAAGACCCAGATCTGGAGGAGTCCACGGAAGCCCTGCGGCAGGACCTGGACCAGGAGAAAACCCGGGTGATGGAGTTGCATCGGGAGTGCAAGAACCTGCAGGTCCAGATCGACATCCTCCAGAAAACCAAATCTCAGGAGAAGACTATCTACAAGGAAGTGATCAGGGTAGAGAAAGACCGGGTGCTGGAGGGGGAGCGGTCCCGGGTGTGGGAGGCGCTCAACAGGGAGCGCGTGGCCCGGCAGAACCGGGAGAAGGAGGTGCTGCGCCTGCAGGAGCGGATTGACAGGGCCGAAGCGCTGAGGAGGACCTGGTCCCGGGAGGAGGCTGAGCTCCAGAAGGCCCGTGACCAGGCCAGCCAGGAACACAGCCAGCTGCAGCAGGAGCTGCAGGAGCTAGAGAGGCAGAAGCAGCGAACAGTGCTGCAGCTGCAGGAGGAGTCCGAGCTGCTCAGTCAGAAGACGGAAAGCGAGCGGCAGAAGGCAGCCCAGCGGGACCAGGAGCTCTCGCAGCTCGAGGCAGCCGTCCTCCGCGAGAAAGACCAGATTTACGAGAAGGAGCGGACCCTCAGGGACCTTCACACCAAGGTGAGCCGAGAGGAGCTCAACCAGGAGACCCAGACGCGAGAGACCAACCTGTCCACTAAGATCTCCATCTTGGAACCTGAGACAGGGAAGGACATGTCCCCGTACGAGGCCTACAAGAGGGGTATCATCGATCGAGGTCAGTACCTCCAGCTCCAGGAGCTCGAGTGTGACTGGGAGGAGGTCACCACCTCGGGACCCTGTGGAGAAGAGTCTGTTCTCCTGGACCGCAAGAGCGGGAGGCAGTACTCCATCGGGGCCGCCCTGCGCTGCCGGCGCATCTCCAAGGAGGAGTACCATCTCTACAAGGACGGCCAGCTCCCCATCTCCGAGTTTGCCCTGCTTGTGGCAGGGGAGACCAAGCCCTGCTCCTCCCTCTCCATTGGCTCCATCATCTCCAAATCCCCGCTTGCCTCCCCGGCCCCCCAGAGCACCAGTTTCTTCTGTCCCAGCTTCTCCCTTGGGCTCAGCGATGACAGCTTCCCCATTGCCGGGGTCTACGACACAACCACAGACAACAAATGCACCATCAAGATGGCAGTGGCCAAGAACATGCTGGACCCCATCACTGGGCAGAAGCTGCTGGAGGCCCAGGCAGCTACGGGGGGCATCGTGGACCTCCTCAGCTGGGAGCGCTACTCCATACACAAGGCCCTGGAGAGGGGGCTGATCGAGAACACCTCGACGCAGAGGCTGCTCAATGCCCAGAAGGCCTTCACAGGCATCGAGGACCCCATCACCAAGAAGAGGCTGTCGGTGGGCGAGGCCATCCAGAAGGGCTGGATGCCCCGGGAGAGCGCGTTCCCGCACCTGCAGGCGCAGTACCTGACCGGCGGGCTCATCGACCCCAGGAGGACAGGCCGCATCCCGGTCCCCGAGGCTGTGCTGTCTGGGATGATCAGTGAAGAACTGGCGCAGCTCCTACAGGATGAGGCCAGCTACGAGAAGGATCTGACAGACCCCATCTCCAAGGAGCGGCTGAGCTACAAGGAGGCCATGGGACGTTGCCGGAAAGACCCCCTGAGTGGCCTGCTGCTCCTCCCAGCAGCGCTGGAGGGCTACCACTGCTACCGCACAGCCTCCCCCACCCTACAGCGCTCCCTGTGCTGATGAGGCCACGCCACTCTCACTGGGGGCGTACGAGGGGGAGAGGTAGGGTGCTTGCACCCCTTGTCCCTGGGCAGTCTAATCCGAGGGGCTGGGCCGTCCCTCTGTCTGATCGCTGTTCCATTATTCAAGTCAGTGGTGTTGGGCTCCCTGCCCTAACGTTGATGCCCAATCCCTGCCCAGACCTGAAGTCCAGCAGACCTGATTTTCCTCCCTCCCCCACCCCCTGCTTCCAATAAACTGATTCTGCCAGTGTTTCTTTCACATACGGGGATGCAGAATCGATCTGTCTGCAGCATGAACACAAGGGAGAGCGTTGCTTCCCAGGTTAGGGGTGGACGTGCGGGCTTTTCAGAGGATTTTAGTTTCCTGGACTCCAGCAGGTGGCAGGAAGAGATCAGGAGCGGCTCCTCCCTCCGTTTCTGCTCTGTACCTCTCAGTTCTGGCCAGGAACTGTTTCCAGCCCTCTGGCAGCCTCCCCTTTGTCAGCAATCCCCTAGTGTCCCCTGTGGCACTGGGCAGAAAAATACTGAAAAACTCAGGAATGCATCACTTTAATTTTTTGTTCTTAAAGCCAGAGGCAAACAAACGTAAGCATATCCTAGGTGATAAACAACTACAAGAAACGGCCACACTCACCCTGACCTCCCCTGGGATCAGGAAAATGTCCTCTCTCCCCCTCACCTTCTTCCTGTTTAACTTGGGACTCAACTGGAATGCAACTCTTCCTCAACACATTTAAATCCAAAACGACCAGCAGGGGGCACTCTTTCCCTCAGGGCTCTACCTTGCTGGCAGTCACAGCTCTCCATGGCATCTGCTGTTCCAGGGCCAGGGGACCCAGTCCCTAACAGAGCCCCAGGTGCACAGAGCTTCTGTGGCCCCGTCTTGAAGCGGCACCATCAAACCCAACAGACAACACAGAACTCGCTGACCTGCTGGCAGGACTAACCCAAACTCAGCCCTCTGATGGCTGATGCCAAATTCCTTAGAGCTTTGCTCTTTCCCCAGATATGTAATCTGGGTGAGAGAAGCAACTGGAGAGAGGCTTTAAAGCAGTGGGCCTCCCATGCTCTCAGCGGCAGAAACGCTCCAGCACATACTGGTTGGGGGCTGGGGAGGTCTGGGTGGACAAGAAATACGGATGGGCAAGCGCGGTCTTGGCTGAGATCCGCCGGCTGGGGTCGTACTGCAGGAGTTTCTGTGGAGGAAGAAGAATGAGAGAGATTGGGCCTGGGTGTGGTGTGGCCAGGGTGGGGAGAGGAATACCCTCCCAGGTCCCAGCTGGGAGGCCCCAAGCCTCCAAGCAGCTGCCTTCAAACCCAGAACTGCACGAAGCCACTACCTCCCTGTGCAAGAGCCAGTTCTGGACACTCCCAGAGTCTGGGGACAAAGGATCAGTTCTAGTCCAGCCCTGTCAAGTCCTCCCAGCCCTGCCCTGGTCTCCTTTTGGCCACTGAGGCAGAGGCAGTCTCTCCCCTTCCTTACTGAGGTTTCCAGGCCCCACAGCCTACTTCTAGTTGAGACAGACTTCTCTCTGTGTATCAGGAAGTAGGGGCCAGTCCTGTCCAGGGAGCACAGTTGAGTGGGCCAGGAATCCAGCATGTCCCTAAACCTGGCCAGGCTGTGGAAGGACAGCCGGCCTCCGAGAAGCCACGGTGGAGTGCTAAGAGCCTTGGCTGGAGGTCTGTGCCATCCTGCTGGCACTGGGTAGGCAGGCACAGCTTGAACATGAAAATACTACTGTGTTTTCCTCTGCCTCAACACCAGGCTAGAAAGACTGTAGCTCTGGGTCTTTGTGGGTATGAATGGATGGCTCTGCCTGAGGCCTGGTCAGTCTGGCCTGGGCTAGCCCGTGGAGTCAGGATGGTGCAACAGGACAGGTGAGTAAGGACTGTGGCAGGGGCCCAGACAGCACGGGACAGCTTTGTGCGAAGAGTAACCACTATGGAAGGCCCTGTGGGGAGTAAGTAGGAGGTGTGGTCCCTGCCTGGGAAGCTTACAGGTTAGGTGGGGTAATAATGTCCACAAGGGAAAATTACCAAAAACACAAGGCAACTAAGAAAAAGGGCAGTGTCCCAGCATACAAGAAAGCTAACTAGAAGAAAGAAGTTTTAAGAGGGAAGGCGAACACTGGACTTACGGGAAAGGCCTCCAGGTCAATCAATACTCACAGGGACAGGGTCAAGCCATACGCAAAGGGGTCAGAAAAGACACCAGCTTGGACTCAGAAGAGCCAGGGTTACATAAGAGGCTGGCTGACAAAGGGGGCACCTCTGGTGGGAGCAGCAGCTGGAGCTGGGAGGCCTTTCGTGCCTTCCCCTGACACTAGCTGTACCTACCATGAGCAGGTCCTTGCCCTCTGGGTCCAGGTTGGGCACAATCTCCTCCATCCCCTTCCTGGTCCACTTGGGGAAGCTGCCCTTATAGTCAGGCAGCTGGGTGACTCCTGGCCATGTAGCTTCACTGGGTGTCCCCAGGGTCCGAAAGATACGAAAAAGCTGGTCAATCTCGGAATCACCAGGAAACAGGGCTCTGCAGGTCACCTGGAATGGGGAAGAGCAGGTGTGGGGTTTCCTCCCTTGTTATGCAGAATCCAGTAGCAGAGCAGCAGCCAGACAAGGGAAGTGTGCTCCAGATTTCCTTCCCAGGGCTGTGCTAAGAATCCCAGCCTTTTCTGGAATAAGGCCCACTTCCTCAGTCTTTCAGCCAGTTCCAAACACCTGCTGATCCATCTCTGATAGGATCAGAGTCCCAGCCTGCCCCAGTGGAACCCTGCCGGGGGCCTCCCTGAGGCCATGTTTGTCTCTCTCCCTACCATCTCTGCAAAGATGCAACCAATGCTCCAGACATCCACAGCTGTTGAATAGAACTTGCTGCCCAAGAGGATCTCAGGGGCACGATACCAGAGTGTCACCACCTGTGCAGGCAGGAAAACAGCCCTCAGGTGGCTGACAGCACGGGTGACCTCTGGCTGAACTTCTCTCTCCTTTGTCCCGCAGTACCTGATGCGTGTAGGTACGTAGGGGCACCCCAAAGGCTCGAGCCAGTCCAAAGTCAGCCAGCTTGATAGCACCCAGCTCATTGATAAGCAGATTCTGGGGCTTCAGGTCTCTGTGGATGACCCGATGGGAGTGGCAGAAATTCACCCCCTGCAGCAGCTGGAAGAGGTAGCTCTGAAATGGCAAGCGTGAGGCGGAGTCAGCCCAGCGGAAGTGGGCTGGCTGAGCGGGGGTGAGCCGATCTTCCCCCCCTTCTTTCCCTTGGTACCTTGACCAAATGCGGGGGGAGCTCAGGGGCTGGAGTGGAGTCCATGTACTTCTTCAGGTCCTGGCTGAGGAACTCGAATACCAGGTAGAGCTTCTTCTCACTGTGCATCACATCCAGCAGCCTGGCCAGGGGCACCAGTTAGGGCGCAGTTCCCAGCTGGACTCGGACAGGCCCAGCTTCCCCACCGCCCTCCCTACCTCACCTGACGATGTTGGGGTGCTTCAGCTCTTTGAGCAGGGAGATCTCCCTGATGGCAGTGCTTGGGACCCCCTCAGTCTCCCTGCAGAAAAGGAGGGCACAGCAGTGGAGGCAGGGTGCTAAGAAGGGCGCTTCTGCCCTGGGGCGTCACCTCTGTGTCCCTCCCATCCCCCAGCGATGGGAGCTGTGCCCCTTGCACATACTTAACACCACCTAGGACCCCGGGGCAAGTTTGTTCGGGCAAAGCCTAGTGAGGAGGAGAAGGGCTGTACTCTGTGGCCACCCTGTTTAACTGGGCAGCGCTGGCAGGATGTAAAACCTGGAGATGAGGGCTGGACAGGGGAGCTCCCAGGCAGTGGGCCATCCCAGAACTCACAAATCCAGCCTAATCTTCTTGAGGGCCACAAGCTGCCCTGTCTCCTTGTTCTTGGCCTTATACACCACCCCATAGGTGCCCTCTCCGATCTTCTCCAACTTCTGGAACACATCCATACCCGCAGAGCTGCCTAGGAAACAGACGGTGTCTGGGCATTTGCCGCCACACCCAGCATCCCTGCTGCCCCTCCAGCCTCCATGGAACACTCTGCCCAGCCCCCGCCCAGGCTTCCCCACTCCCAAGGCCTGCGGTCCACAGGGCTCCCCCTGCCCGGCTCGCCAGGCCGCCCAGACCGCAGTTCCCGCCCCCCGCCCTGCCCAGCCCTGGGAACCTGGCTTGGAGTGTGAAGCTGGCCTGGGAAGCTCACAGGTAAGGTGGGGTAATAAGTACTGACCAGGGGCCCAGTCAGGAAAGTGCCCAGCTACGGAGCGCAGGAGAGCCCAAACTTCTCGAGCCAGAGCCTCTGCCTTTGCCCCGCCAGGCCAGGGCTCTGAGGGTAGAAGGCTGCCCAGAAAGGCTGCCTGGGGGTCCAGGGTCAGCTTGAGGTATAGGTCAGGGGTCAGGAAGGGTTTCTGAAGCCACAGTCCTGCCCTAGGCCACACAGGCGGCACGAGGGTCTGGGCCCGGCCTCTTTGCGGACACTGGGCCTCCTCTGAGGGCAAAACCTCGGCAGGAGTGGCTCCCTAGCGTCCTGGGCCCCCCAGCCCGGCCCAGGTGCCCCCAGCACCCTCCCCTCAGGCCCACAGCCCCGAATTCACCCGAAACCCTGCGCTCCTACAGCCTCACTGCCAGGCAGGCTGTGCTCCACGGCTCCCCCTGCTGGCCCCTGCCAGCGCTGCACCACGTGCACACACAAGGTCTCACGGGGGGGGCCTTTATTCACGGGGACCTTCTGGAACCCTCCATGGCCCCCACACGAGGCACAGTTCCCAGGACCCCACAGCTCAGCCTCCTGGGGCGTCCTGGCCTGGGAATGTCAGGCTTTGGCGCCTGTTCTCTGGGCTCTTCTTTCTGGAACAATCGCAAATGAGCAACCCCTCCCCCCTTCTCTGTGGCTCCAGATAACGGCTGTCACTGGGGGAAGCTCCTGAGTCCTCTTAGTAGCAGCTCTGGCGTCTGTGGGGGGCTTGGCCCCGGGCGCACATTCAGCAGAGGGGCGTTGCCGGGAGTTGCCGTTTGCTACTGGCTGCCGTGCCTCTCCTGCTGGTACACCCTCTGCCCCTGGATGGCTTGTTCCAGCAAGGGTAGGTTCATCCCTTCCACACAGGTCAGCACCCGGGCCTTTACCAGGGAACCTCCATCTGAAAGACACAAATCCCAGGGCGCCCCTGGTATATCAGCAACGCTTCAGGTGCATCCCGGCCGCTCCCCCTCAGCTCGTCTTGTGCTGAGCCTTACCAGGCGGGCTTGACAGGGTGCACC